ACAGTGATGTTGATTGGCTGATAAGTATAACAAACCCCTAATCTGAATATGCAAATTATCTGAACAATGGATGACAGTGATGTTGATTGGCTGATAAGTATAACAAACCCCTAATCTGAATATGCAAATTTTCTGAACAATGGATGACAGTGATGTTGATTGGCTGATAAGTATAACAAACCCCTAATCTGAATATGCAAATTTTCTGAACAATGGATGACAGTGATGTGTCAAACGCACTGTATCAACTGATAGTTGCCACAGAGATGAAAATGCAATTGCCTCTTTTTTTGTGAAGTTGAAATAAATTTATATGGCTATCATGTTTCCAGACTAGTATAGAAAAAGGACCCACAAATTAATTCATAATTTGTCAAGAATTCTTAACAACTGTAATATTCATATACTATAATGGTATACGATTTATACTGCTTTAATCTCACGATTAATCATTTATCAATGGTTTGGTTTAGAAATGTGTAGCATTTATTTACTTTTTCACAGTTCCTTATATTCAAAGCCAAATACTGGAAAAGGCTGAATTAAATGCATTGCCCTGATGCACTCACTGGTTGCGAAAGTTGTGAGCTGGGTGGTTTATTTTCGATGAAAACACTTGTGTTTAGAAGTGGGTATATTAATAGAAAAAAAATGGTTTAGAAGTGAGTATGGTTTTCGAGAGGTGGGCTTCACACCCTTACCCACTTAATGTGGAAGTAGCCCTCCGGGCCTGGAAACGTTTGGTATAACCAAATTTTTGTGACAGTATGACTGACAAGTTTTTTCGTTGTTCTGGGGTAAGTTTGATGGTGTAAGATCGGATTTTCGCATCATTTTTGTGACACGTACATGATATGCCTTGTCTCAACTCTGGCCGAAAGACTTTGCACGCCGTCGCTCTAATACAGTAGTTGGTGTACACTCGGCACAAATTTGTAGCTTTCGAAATTACCTTCATCATCTCCTGTAATTTATTTACCCATAGTGGAGAATTACAAATATCATATATCGTCGTCGAATCCTGCGTTGTCCTGTGTTTTTTGAAACAGATGGCAATTACCCGGGTGCACTGCAATTTTGTCAGCTGCCGCTACCGGACACCGGTTGTTATTGGTGGCATACATTTTTGCCTGTGACTCATAGTTTTTTGCATTTTTATATCATTAAATCCCTCAATTATATCTTGTACTTAAAGATCATGTCTTCTTTGTTGGAAGTTCGCAATCCATCTCAAAGTAACAACACTGAGAACATAGCGTTCTGGCGTTCGTGTAGGCACCTCACGGTGTTGAGGGACGGTGGTTTAGGTTTGTGTGGCGAACGACAATCACCCAACGACCGACGTTCACAACTTGGATCCCACCATTAACAAAAAGCAATATTATAGTTATATAACTTTTCAGATGTTTTTAATTCAGTATTTTTTTCAATATTCTTCCAAAATTCAACCACTTTATTTCCCTAAAAATCAAATACCCCCGGTAATACCGGTTTTATGTATTTCCGTATTAAACCTGTAGTCAATTCATGTTCCAGGGCCACTTGGTTTAGCTGTGCATTATCAGCCAATATACCATGGATTGCATATGCAAATGTTGTGTTTGGACCAATCAAATCAAAGGATTAACACCATCAATATACTGGTATAATATAATATCGGATAAATCATAATAGTTTGGTAACCTTGGATCAATTCAGTTTTTATTTTTGTAAGATTTTTCCTTATTATCCCTTTATTTTTCTAAATGTTTAAAAAGTTTTTGGTTTATTTTGTAAAAAGAAATAAACATTTTTTTTTGTACAACAGAGATTTTACCTTTTACCTAGCTATTAAATATTCAGTTCATCAATTTTAAGCATATGAATAGCTATAAGGGGTAGACAATCAACTTTACAAGCAGGAGTGAGATTCCAATTTTGCTAGCAGAATATTTTTCTTTACTGCCATTTATAACACAACATAAATATTTGATAACAGTGCTGAAACTATTTGGACATTGTCTAAAACAAAAGCATTCTGATTTTGTTAAACCCCCCCTTTGTGGAAATAATGGTCAGCCCTCTTAAAAACCATCTCATCCATCCTAGTGATGTTCACTTTATCACAGTTGTCTTTTATTTAACCAGTCACTTTCAGACTTTTTAAAAAAAAATTATAATAACAAATTTGAGCAAGTATGGTCCAGAATATTCTACCCCTAAAATGATTGTAACTGTGCATGTACATAGAGAGGCTTACAAAAACATGAATGTTGCCGTAGCAACCATTTTAAAGAGAGCTGCACATTTATATACAAGGAAATAAACATAAAATAATTACAAACCAAATCAAGTGATTACAAAGTACAAGTTACGACTGGGATTACAAGAAACGTTTATCACCCGATTGCTCTATTGCATTAAACTTTAGTGGGAGAACAAATTACTTTGTGGATGGCGGCAAAGGGTACTAAGAAAATGTTTTCAAAGTGGAAACAAAACTGTATACAGATTCAATGCAAATATGTATTCAATAGTGTGTGTGTGTTAATAGTTAAATCCTGTGTTTAAAATACTTGAGAAATTACTATAAAACAAGTCTTTTTAGCTAGCATGTCATTTTATCTAATTTAGCTAACCTGTAATTTGCTAATTCAAGATGTCGCTAATTTAGAATATATATTAGAAGTATATTCTCACAATGAGATTGTTGACATTTTAGCTAAATTAAGATTCTGTTAATTCATGTATTGAGTCTAATTCACTAAAATGGTATGTAGCTATCTCAATGTGTTTTAAAGTATTGCCATTTATAGGTTGAAAATAAATGACAAATATACCACAAATAGTTATTACTTACTCATTAAAAAACAATGGATGTTAGCATCACAAGAACCAATGAAGAATTACTTTTAGTTGTAACTACTACCGTAAAATCTGTGTTAGAAGCTAAATAGAAGTCGCGCCCATTCTTTTTGAATAATTGAGAACCAAAAATTCATCATTTCTCATATGTGTAGGTGCTCTAATAGAAGCCACACCCCCTCTGTTGCATTGTACCATTTTAATAGAAGCCGCAGTTTCTAATACAGATTTTACACTAGTATGACAAATTATTTATTGATCCAGTTTTAATTTTGCTATTTTCACTGAATCTGATAAAATAAATACACATCAACATGTAAGCCACAATCAAATTCATTGGTTCACAAGCAAACACAGTGAAACCCAGTAAATATAAATATTTAAGCAATGGCGCTTGCTGTTTTCAAGTCGATAATAGCATCAAAAGTGGAAAAAATATTCACTAAAATTAGAGAATATTAGGTATCATCACATAATGAACAAATCTGACTTGGGTCCACCCAAAGTGTCTACACTTAGTTACCGGTAGTTATCAAATTTAAGATATATAATTTTGTTTATAGTAATATAGTTGGAACATAAACATGTCAGAAATATGGATCCAGAAGCTGATGCTTGATTATGATGATTTTTTAACATTAAAATGGTTGACATTCAGTCATCTTGTATCTGATCATCAAACGAGTACCTGTCCATATTGAGAGATATTGCTGTGGAACAGCAATGATTAAAACATCTGTATATCTATGGCATGACGTATAACGAATATATAAAATTTGAACATAATCAGTCAAAGCATGAAATTAAAACAAAATGGCCGACGAGTCACCCATTTTGAATGGCATCTGAAAAACAAAATGACATGCATCAAGGTTCTATAATTTCTAATGTAAGTACCAAGTTTGAACAAAATCCATCTGTAAACAGCCGAGATGCGATTCCTGAATGTCAGAAATGCTTGATTTTTGTACAAAAATGACCACCATTTGGCCATCTTGAATCAGATTGTGAAATACTATGTATGATGTATGTGTGAAGTTTGAATGTAATAGGTCCAGGCACATGTAAGATATAGGTCCGGATGCATACACGGACACACAGACGCATACACTGAGACCAATCAATAAGTCCTCGTTTCAGATGCTGAATGACAGCATGTTGACTAAAGTGACTGTTCTTGACAAGTTTTCATTTTCGGACATGCATCCTAACGAGGACAAACAATTTTGGCACATAATTGGGTAAAGTCAAATTCTTGTATGTCAAAATACTGATGAAAAGAAGAAAATATTCACAACTTACAACCGAGCATTTTCAGCCAATGATAATAGTCTGTTTTCATTTACTTGTTGCAGTCCACCAGCATTCAGTAATTCCAACAGTGCTTGTTGACGTTCTTCATGACGGCCCTCATCATCAGGGTTCGATAAGAACTCTAAAACCTACGAGAATTCACAAAAAATCTTCTATAATCTTTTCAACAATAGTGCCGTTCACGTTAGAGATCTTGACACACGCTGAAACTTGGGATCAAGTCAAAACCAAAATCATGCCCTTGTGGTGAATTTGAGAGAGCATATATAGATTCATGGAGGAAAAGTGCAGCTATATATGGTCGGATGCTGCAGTAATGAATGAAATGAATGCAAACAGTTAATGTATGTGCTGCTGCAGTCGCTATTTCCTTGCAATGCTACATTGACGTAAAAAAAATAATTGTTTTTCTAATCTTTTTTGTCATTCATGCTCACGATGACTCGTAATAAGTACCATAACAACAAATAGATATAATTTCAATATAAAAATTAATATTATCATCATATGATGATATCGGCACGAGCCAAGTGGTTCCCAACTAACGTGAATGCAATTACTGTAATCCCTCAGCAAACACCAAGTGTTAAAAGTTTTGGCATGTGACGAGATTCCATAATGTAAACGTAGCAGATGTCAGTTTTCACAAATTGAGGCACAACATTTTGCACATAACTGTTTCCTCATTGGCTATGTGTATCAAATAGCTTCGCGAAATGCAATGAGAAACATTATTGAGGTGTGGCTAGTCAAATTTGGGGAGTTGAATATCATGTTGGCTAAAATGACTGTTCATGACAAATGAATAGACCATTTTCCGTTCACTGCGAGAATCACGCGTTATGCCTGAAATCGAACGTAAAAACAGGACAAACAAAGGTCATAGCGTCGTAGTGGCATCAAACATCGCATGGGATTGGACAAACGCGAAGTATTTTGATGGACATTTCCATGCTTAATCATGTGCTGCCCACATTTCATGATAGGCAATTTCGATTAAGTAAGTGTATTCCGAAGCAATATTCCTCTGTCGAAGATCTATCAGTCGATGTGAGCTACGAAATAAAGAAATTCTAGTTCAAAATCAAATCATTCGACTTTTGCGGCAGACGTTCGACGCGCATCTTTCATACGTCTCGCGAGATCTCGTAATTGTACGGAAAATCACCTATACAGAAAGCATGCTCATGAATCTATAACATTGGGTAGTTTTTGACCGTTACAGTGATCATTGTATTCACACAAGATTTTTTCTTCGTCACTCTCAAATCTAATTAGAGGTTTTCTATGAAATTTTGCATATGTAATATGTTACATATGTAATGATTATGAATATAATGTGCTGAAAGAGGGGAGGGTTTTCTATTTCCTAACAGTGAAATATTCTGGTTTTCTTGCATCAGAGGTGTTACTTCATGCTTGACTGTACTCTGACTGTGAAGTCTTTCTGATCACCTTTGTTTTTGGTCCATTATATCACAAGGTTTCAGATTCAATATGAAGTTATCAGGTAACAAGTTGATCAGTGGATATTGATAGATTCTATGTGTAGTTATCAGGTAACAAGTTGATCAGTGGTTATTGATAGATTCTATGTGTAGAGTGAACCCGCTAAGCGTGTGAGAATTTGTGATGTACTTAAATGAAGAGATGAAAGAATAAAGCCGAGATTCGTATACTGTGTGATTGTAGCAGAACCTAGCTCAATATATAATATCTTAAAGGTGTCTGATTTCATCCAGACCTAGCTGGTTGATACCATATAAACATTATAACATTATTAGTGTCACAAATTTTTTTCACATAGTGATTAACTTATTGTAAACGGTTTAATTTGCACTGTGGTACTAGAATTGATTTCACATGCGTATAGATTTCAGAACGACAAAATTTTGCAAAAGTCACTGACACTCATTAACATTTTTTCAGAACCCCAAAATTTTTAATTTTTTTTTCTAAATTGAGGAATTCGTGAAAATTTGTCTTATGTAAAATTTAAGTAGTTGACAAGATTTTTTGAATTATTCATCGCTAAAATGTCACAATGAATTTTTGTGATTTTATCAGCTGGATCTTTCCCTTAAAATTTGTGATAACTGTAAAGTAAACTGTCAATCAAAATAAATATAGTTGGGTTTGATGATAAGACCTTTGAATTATATTGAAAAAGTAAAAAAAAACTATTGAAATTGTTAAATAAAAATATTGGCAGGAATATTTTTGACATATTTTTGTTACCTGTTCAAAGAGTAAGCGGTTGACGAGTATACTGTTTTCATGCTTTGCCATCTGCCGTGCTAGGAATGTGAATAAACATCCAACCTGAGTCGGCTGCAAGTCAGAAAACAGAAACACATATTAAATAAACAGACATATTAATAAATAAATTAAACTATAAAAATAAATGAATTTCATAACTGTTACAGACACAGAAAAAAACTATTAGGATGGAGAGCATATTGGTTACTTTGCACAATGTTTTTAATTGATAGAATAGAACAGAATGGATATAGAATAGATAATAGAATTTATTATATTCTAGTACATATTCTATAAAGAAAGCAATAAATTAATGGGTCCCCAGACAACCCCCAACCCCCCCCAGTATCAATTCAATTCGCACCTTTTATTATTACTGTGGAATACTCTTTTTTCGCTGGAATTAATTTTCGCTGAAAAGGCTTTTTGAACGTTTTATATGGAATTTATTTTCCCTAATTTTCGATGAGTTTAATTTGAAATATAGGAAAAAAAGTATATTCGCTGGATTTTATTTTCACGGAATCATCCCTTCAGCGAAAATAGCGAACATAAATTCCAAGCGAAAGTAAAGTATTCTACAGTATATTGTTTTCATTCATGTTTTTCATTTAAACACGCGTGTTTCATATCTTATCAATTGAGTTCTTGCCATTATGTATATTTGTGTATTTACCCGGTATACTTACTTGTACGTTTCAAGTATGATGTATTTATATTTACTAACTAATAACTCATGTGTTACATGCATGGATTATTTTTATGTATTTAGCTTTAAGTCATATGTTGCAAATACAGTTTAATTATAATTACTTGCAAATAAGAGATTTACATCCATCTCCCAAAAAATGTAATTATGCGTGGCTGCAACACATACCCAGGTAAGTTAAAACTAAAAAATTTGAAATACATTGTTTATGTAATGTACAAAATATTATGACTACAGCCATATAAAAAGAGATGCAAAATACTCGTAATGAAACAATTCCGATGGAGCAGAACAGGAGACGTTTTGTCTTACTTTTCTGGGAGACTTTTCTAGTGCTAGACCTTTTGTTCAGACACATCAATTAGTATGTAAAGAGCTGACATCACTAGCATGAATATTCACGTAAAGGTCTGACATATGCCAGCCATAAGGGTGTCAGGTCATTGATTAGGACAAACAGAGAATAAGGAAGGAGACAATGTGCCCCTTATAAACACTACACTACGAGTCACTGGGTTTTCTTTCTATTTTTAAATATTCAAAAGATTTGTCTACCTGAATGTGAACATCATTAATCACAGAAGTGCTACTGTACTGATAGAAATACTGTATTTCTAAAGATGCATTATTATATATAGAGTGTAGTGAAAACACATTTAAATTTTGTTTTAAATTTTGTATTTTGAGTTTTAATTTATTCACAGTACTCATAGAAGGATGAATTTTATTTAATTAGCAACCTGAAGTTACATTAGACGGTGACTGAAACTAAAGACTTCAACATGCAACTAAGTAGTTAGTGGTAAAAATGAGATACGAGTGGCAAATGCCATGTCCTAAATACAGTCTAATGTCTAAAGCATACATATACAGGTTCAGTACACTTCTAAAAGGAAATTATCTGAAACATGGCTCACTGCAAATGGTTGCCCCATGGGCAATGCTTCAGCACCCTGGTGACCTTTTGGTGCTACAAAAACAAATACGTAAAACTGAGCAAAAATTAATAGCGCCCAGGGTACTCGACTCTCAAAAATCATGTTTATAGGGGTGCTGAACGCTTAGTCGAGCACCCCAATTGGCAAAAAGACAATCTTTGTTCACCACAACATGTCAGATTAGGGGGAAGAGTACGTTTTTGACACATCTACAATAACAAAACAGAAATGATCAAAAAAATATACCTATTTATAACAAAACTATTTACATAGCATCAGAAGTTACAATGTAAAATTATTAGGGAAAACGATTATTTATCTTTGTTGAATATTGTCGATTGTTTGCAAACTTTGTACATTTACTTGCACAATTTGATCTGCAGCATCGTCTTTTGACCTGATAGATCATGTGTGTTATTCTCCAGGAATTCTCGAAGGCATTCTGGCTATGCAATTCCGAAGTGAAATATCTATCGGATGTTGAAGTACGATCTGATTTCGACAAAAAACAACATGATTAATTTTTGTAAGGTGAACTAAAAATGGAATGAAGTATCTATTATCACTATTGAATTGTAGTTTACTAACGTTTACCATGGTTGTCTGTGCATTCGATCAATATTCATGATATATCCACGCCGTACTATATAAATGTGATTACCAGTAACTCAGAAAAGTGCTCAATGACCAAGTCGTATGACAACATTTGAAACAGAAATGCACCAAAAGTGAGGGAGGGAGCGCTTAGTTGAGCACTGAGTTATTATAATTTTATTTCTATTATCTTTACAAATGATAACTTTATTGCATGTATATACCATCAAAGCTGCAACATTTTTCAAGAAGTTGAAAACTTTGCTGGTCATTATTGACCAGAAACCAGCTTTTAATGAAACTTGGTAGACACCCTGGTAGTCAAAGAATCGGACTATTTTTAGCAGAGATAATGCAGACTACTTTTTAATATTCTAATTTTAATTTGAAATTAATTTTTAAATATTTCCTATATTTATTTATGCCTTTTACAGAAGTCATACTTATACAAGACCCCCACGAGTAACCTTACCCACTACAACTGATACAAGATTTGAGATTTCCATCAGCAGTAAAAACTAATTGTAGCATCTTCTGCAGCACAGTTTGAAAGATCCTGTACTACACAACAATACATGTAATTTGTATTGTTCACACATACCTACATGTGACTGTGACGAGTGGAAGATGTGACAGACCTAATAATGAGAGCAGAAAGCATGTACTCACCGTAAATCCCACACTTTCCACCATAATCTGCAACAATATATCAACGACGTGCTGCCTAGATTGAACATTCAAGGGATATATTCTGTATAAAAAGAAAAAAAAAACTATTAAATATAAAAACCTTTTATACAAAATGTGTTTACAATGGATGCAACAAAACAGTGAATGTACCACGTGAGTCGTCAATAGAATGGTGACAACCTGGAATTTACAAGGTACCACCGATACATGTACTACACATGTGCCTTCACATATTTTTGTGCACAGAGAGATGGACTAATACAAAACTGTGTCAGCGGACAATGGGTGGTGACAATCACATAAAATATATTTATTACATATGTACTGCAGTTTATTTTGATTTGTCCCTGAAATCAAAATCGGTATTTTGGTATCGGTAACCAAGACTCATTCAATCCACAACCAGCGAGCAACATCACAAATGAAGTTGTAGAGTGCAGCTCAGCGACGACCGCTGTCGACGAAAGTCACCCCATCAGAGGAGTACCCCAGTTGCACGGCATGTTTGCCAATGCACAATTCTGTGGAGGAACTGTTAACGTCAACATAAACTGTGAATCACAGTCGTTCAAGTTCATGATCTGTCGTGGTCCTAACTAAACGTCCACGAGTTATTTATTCGGACAGTGATTCAGGATTAGACGTCTGATTAGTTTATTTTTTTACACAGACAGTGTCACGTGTTCTACACTGACATGCGTTGCTAGGGCATAACACTATCTTGGAACATATTAATAGGAATGGGGTTCTTCGATCTAAATTCCATCCCGGTTTGTTGCACGTTCTTTCTTTAATGTGAAATAATAAACAAGCAGCCTCTCGGCTGAGATAGCTCCGCTGTTAGCAATGCACATTTCAATTAAAGAACAAAAGATATCATTAGAAAATTAACAATGTGCATAGTATCAATGCAATGGGACTTGCTGTTTTCAACAAGAATTCAAAAATATCATTTTTCATCATAAATGATTGTGGTTTTTAACAAGAAAAAAATATCACTTTTTACCAAAAATGACAAAAATATTCATCAAAATTAGAGAATTGAAGATATTATCATGAAATGAACAAATTTGAGAGTGGTCCATACATGTATGTAGTATCTATATATGTAATATCAAAGTAATTGGACTTGTGGTTTTTAACAAGAAGTTGAAAATATCACTTTTTACCAAAAATGACAAAAATATTCACCAAAATTAGAAAATTAAAGATATCATTATGAAATGAACAAATTTGAGAATGGTCCACATGTAGTACCTATATATGTAATATCAAAGCAATTGGACTTGTTGTTTTTAACAAGAAGTCGAAAATATCACTTTTTGACCATAAAAGATTGTGGTTTTTAACAAGAAGAAAATATCACTTTTTACCAAAAATGACAAAATATTCACCAAAATTAGAGAATTGAAGATATCATTACAAAATAAACAAATCTGAGAGAGGTCCACATGTAGTACCTATATATGTAATATCAAAGCAATTGGACTTGTCGTTTTTAACAAGAAGTCGAAAATATCACTTTTTACCAAAAATGACAAAAATATTCACCCAAAATTAGAAAATTAAAGATATCATTATGAAATGAACAAATTTGAGAGTGGTCCACATGTAGTACCTATATATGTAATATCAAAGCAATTGGACTTGCGGTTTCTAACAAGAAGTTGAAAATATCACTTTTTACCAAAAATGACAAAAATATTCACCAAAATTAGAGAATTGAAGATATGATCATGAAATGAACAAATCTGAGAGAGGTCTACCCAAGGTACATATATACCAAGTATCAAAGCATTCAGACTTGTAGTTTTCAAGAAGAAGTCGAAAATGTAAAACATTGACACGGATGACGGACACTGGACGATGGACAATCACTCATATGATAAGCTCCGCTCGACAAAGTCGACAGCGGAGCTAAAAATGACAAAAATATTCACCAAAATTAGAGAATTAAATATATCATTACAAAATGAACAAATCTGAGAGAGGTCCACATGTAGTACCTATATATGTAATATCAAAGCAATTGGACTTGCGGTTTTTAACAAGAAGTTGAAAATATAACTTTTTACCAAAAATGACAAAAATATTCACCAAATATAGAAAAGTAAGGATATCATCATGAAATGAACAAATTTGAGAGTGATCCACATGAATAACTATATATGTAATATCAAAGCAATTGGACTTGTCGTTTTTAACAAGAAGTCAAAAATATCACTTTTTACCAAAAATGACAAAAATATTCACCAAAATTAGAGAATTGAAGATATGATCATGAAATGAACAAATCTGAGAAGAGAAAGGTCTACTCAAGGTACATATACACCAAGTATCAAAGTATTCAGGCTTGTAGTTTTCAAGAAGAAGTCGAAAAAGTAAAACATTGACACGGACGCCGGACACCGGACAATCACTCATATGATAAGCTTCGCTCGACAAAGTCGACAGCGGAGCGAAAAATGGAATAATATGTATGTAATAATAACAGAACCCAACACCCTCCCAGTGGCTTTCGTTGCATATGGAAGTTATTTTCACTCGAAATGCTCGTGAAAGTACGACCGCAGGATACCGCACATCACTTGTGAAAATAACAGTCATTGCATTTTAAACTAGTAGTTTGAATACAGGATGTTTGTTCAGTGGAAATAATGGTTTTTGTGTTCGCCTAGCATTAGAAATAAATGTGGGTTTGATTTCCAAAGATGCATGACTGTTTTACTTACGTATAAATCACATTATCACACATCTAGCACCAAAAAACAATAAAATTTGTTGTTTCGTAAAAATATATATCAACACTTGATTTAAAAATTATCAGCACTCGTTTGAATGCTCACATTTTCCTTTATAAGGAGTAAATTATGTCACCAACATTGACACGTTCCATGTCATTGACATGACGTTAGAACACTTTCTTTTCTTTATATTGGATGCAGAAACACTATAGTGCATGTAAACAAGCAGCCTGTCGACTGAGATAGCTCCGCTGTTAGCAATGCACATTGCAATTAAAGAACAGAAGATATCATTAGAAAATGAACAATATGTATAGTATCAAAGCAACCAAAAATAATCGTCAAAATTAGATAATTGAAAATATCACCAGGAAATTAACAAATCTGAAAGAGGTCCACATGTAGTAACTATATATGTAATATAAAAGCAATCAGACTTGCGGTTTTCAACAAGAAGTCAAAAATATCACTTTTTACCAAAAATGACAAAAATATTCACCAAAATTAGAGAATTAAAGATATCATTACAAAATGAACAAATCAGAGAGAGGTCCACATGTAGTACCTATATATGTGATATCAAAGCAATTGGACTTGTGGTTTTTAACAAGAAGTCGAAAATATCACATTTTACCAAAAATGACAAAAATATTCACCAAAATTAGAGAATTAAAGATATCATTACAAAATGAACAAATCTGAGAGAGGTCCACCCATGGTACATATACACCAAGCATCAAAGCATTCAGGCCTGTAGTTTCCAAGAAGAAGTCGAAATAGTAAAACATTGAAATGGACGATGACGGCGGCAACGGACAATCACTCATATGATAAACTCTGCTCGACAAAGTCGAATCCAGTCATATCCTTGCAAACACACAGCTTATTGTATTCTAGAATTGGGTTTCGTTCAATGCTAATGTATTTTATGTCGTCATAATCCCATGATGCAATGCGTAAAACACTGAAACCATTTTAATTTTGCACATGGACATTTTTCGGCATTAATTTGACTTTTCAAATAAAACCAATACCTACCCTTCTTGTGAGTCAAACTCAGGTTCTTCAAATGCTAAAGCTAACACATTGAGAAACTCCCTTGTATCAAACTGGAGTAACGTTCTCAAGTACGGGTATGCGGACTCATCTTCATTATGATCTTTAGTATGCAGTTTAGTTATGCAGCGGAATACCTAGATAGTAACAATATCTTCAGTGATTTAATAAAACATTTCCAGTGCCTAGCGAGATTTGACAAATGAGCATGACAGCGTGTTATTCCCTACTTTAAATATTACCGGTAGTTACATATATCAAAGAGTGACTGTCAGCTAATAAAAATTAGTTTTTAAAATATCAACATATTTTCTGACAATAATGCAGTTTATACGTGAGGGTGGAGCTATGTCACAGATTGTTCTATGATGCTAATATATCACTGTACTATTTATTTATATGGGGCTCTGAGCGCGCTGTTGTAGAACGCTAGACGAAGAGCTGGTGAAAACAACTAAAGTCAAGAACATCACAAAATTAACTGTGAGACAATCCCGAACAACCAAAATATACATGTTGCACATGTCGAGATAATCTTGTTAAACTGCTGAAGAAAATCTCAACGACTAGCCCAATGTATGTTTGTTTTGAGAATTTTCTACCGTTGTTTTAACTGACTGTGGTTGCCAGGCAGTGAAAATGTCTGAATGTTTTCTCCCGAGAATTGTTTAATTGACACGACTTTGTACATACAATCTAAAATCTATTGCTGCTTGTACAAATATACTTCTGACGTAAAAATTAAAAATTAACAAAATTAACCACAGAATTATGAAATTAAACCATAGTGTTTTTGCCTTTTTAAAAAATTAGTCATTATTTGAATGATTTTATAAAATTGTCAGACATGACTCACCGATTCTTTTACATCATGAACAATATCTTCTGGAATATCACCAAAAGGATAAGATCTTCCTGCCAAACAACAACTACAAATCATAACATGTTATGTGTTAGAATACAGTGAATTTTGTAACTATACATTATTAAGGTATCAACAAATACACTAAAAGCGTCATGCAATAATTCTAAAACCGATAGCTTTATTGAAAATGTAATTATTGGTTACATCATCAAGGCATGAAAATCAGTATTTCTGATGACATCATCTCATGTATTTGATGTGTTTGATGATGTCATCAAAAATGTGTTTCCCTTGATGTCATTTCTGATGATGGAAACACATTTTTGATGACATCATCTCATGTATGTCATGACAAATGGGTTTGATGATGTCATCAAAAATGTGTTTCCCTTGATGTCATTTCTGATGACAGAAACATTTCTGATGACAGGCTAACAATTTTTGCGACATCACTGACAAGGTCAATTGAGATTATTTTAGTTGATGACATCATAATAGTTAAATTATGCAGTGAATACTTCCTATTCATCCTTTTAACATCATGACATCACTGCGTCACTAGAGGGCAGTGTAGTATGAGCATCAAAATAGAATTTTGAGTAGAATTTCAAATTTCTATTTCACAGGTTTCCATTTTTTCCATCGACCCCAACGAAACAGAGACTGAGTAGAAGTATCTTTCACTAACCTTATATATACAAGTAATTTATTTCCCAGTTTAATCTGATCATCTGTAAGTTGTTTTGCAGATTTCATGGCAGACTCTAAAACCCTTAGAAGGTCTTCTAGTGGTGTGACGTAGTCACGCATTCCTTTATTATAGACATAGAGAATAGCGTCGTATAAACCATGCGTCCAACACAGATTAACAACCTGGCAAAAACAAATATTGGGTCATTATGTAATTCTTAACTTTTGTCAGTGAACAAATGAAGAAACAGAGACCAACCTGTGGGCAATACAGCCATACCTGATGTATATTGACCCCCATGGGGACAATACAAGCTTACCCGATGTATATTGACCTCCATGTGGACAATACAAGCTTGCCTGATGTATATTGACCTCCATGTGGACAATACAAGCTTACCTGATGTATATCAACTTCCATGTGGACAATACAAGCTTACCTGATGTATATTGACCTCCATGTGGACAATACAAGCTTACCTGGTGTATATTGACCTTCATGTGAACAATACAAGCTTACCTGATGTATATTGACCTCTATGTAGACAACACAAGCTTACCTGATGTATATCTAGACTTGCGACCTCCATGTGGACAATACAAGCTCACCTGATGTATGTTGATCTCCATGTGGACAATACAAGCTTACCTGATGTATATTGCCCTCCATGTGGACAATACAGGCTTACCTGATGTATATTGACCTCCATGTAGACAATACAAGCTTACCTGGTGTATATTGACCTCCATGTGGACAATACAAGCTTACCCTATGTATATTGACCTCTATGTAGACAATACAAGCTTACCTGATGTATATCTAGACTTGCGACCTCCATGTGGACAATACAAGCTCACCTGATGTATATTGACCTCTATGTAGACAATACAAGCTTACCTGATGTATATCTAGACTTGCGACCTCCATGTGGACAATACAAGCTCACCTGATGTATATTGATCTCCATGTGGACAATACAAGCTTACCTGATGTATATTGCCCTCCATGTGGACAATACAAGCTCACCTGATGTATGTTGATCTCCATGTGGACAATACAAGCTTACCTGATGTATATTGCCCTCCATGTGGACAATACAGGCTTACCTGATGTATATTGACCTCCATGTAGACAATACAAGCTTACCTGGTGTATATTGACCTCCATGTGGACAATACAAGCTTACCTGATGTATATTGACCTCTATGTAGACAATACAAGCTTACCTGATGTATATCTAGACTTGCGACTTCCATGTGGACAATACAAGCTCACCTGATGTATATTGACCTCTATGTAGACAATACAAGCTTACCTGATGTATATCTAGACTTGCGACCTCCATGTGGACAATACAAGCTCACCTGATGTATATTGATCTCCATGTGGACAATACAAGCTTACCTGATGTATATTGCCCTCCATGTGGACAATACAGGCTTACCTGATGTATATTGACCTCCATGTAGAAAATACAAGCTTACCTCGTGTATATTGACCTCCATGTGGACAATACAAGCTTACCCGATGTATATTGACCTCCATGTGGACAATACATGCTTACCTGATGTATATCTAGACTTGCAACCTCCATGTGGACAATACAAGCTTCTACATTCTGCAACATGCCTTTCATCTCATAATGCTGTATGAAATCCTTCATCACACCCGGCGTCACCGACACAAGTTTATCATTCAGAATATATGGTTCAAGACACTCCAGATACACGCCTTTAGCGATGGTATCTTCGCTAAATTTCTCATAAATAGTTCCAAATAGTATATCTCTATATGAGAAGGGAGAGAGTAATGAGAAAACTAATGTAGGTTAGCATAACACTGGAAAATAACAATGTGCAAGATGCAAATCTCGTTGGTGTGTTTCCAGATTTGAATGGCATTGTTTTGTCATTTTGTTTTCAACTACTAGTAGATGGTTGCATGCATCTTTTTAACTTTCATACTGTTAACTATAAAATATGAAATGAATAATCTTGTAATTCCAGGATTAATATTTTTTTCAAAATTGAAGAATAAATAAATTTAGCATAAAACACATTATCTAAATGATAAAACCGTGAATTTAAAACCCAAAATGTGCCTGGAATGGTAAATCAGTGAAATTTAAACCCACTGAAAATCAGTCATTTTATAGTAGGTTACACCAGAGGTACATTACTTGGGGTTTGCAACTACGGTGACATGATACCAAGATCCCATTTCAATCTCGCTCTCGCATAAGCATTCCAACTCAGAAAAATGCGAATGCGCATGCCCGAGGTAACTAGGATACTGGAATTTCCAGGTGGACCAAAATAGCTGCTCACGATATGACGGATTACGATAACTTTATTTTCTGTACATTTTTGATGTATTAATTTTTTTCACTATGAATGTGGTAATACATGTTTTATTGATTATTACAAACCGCCTATTTCATGTTTGAAGGTCGTAGCGTCAGTCTCGCTATCTACGAGAAGAGACTTGAATGGGATCTTGACATGATGTCACCATACAGTACTATGCGCGTTGCAAACCCCAAGTAATGTACTTCTGGTTACACATATACATAAGTTGGGTCTTTGGAATACGAAGCAGCTTCATCTGTAGAAAGTCACTGGAGAATGGACTACCCTAAATATTTATCAATTTGATTTCTTTTTGATCTACTCAGTATTAACAACTTACGTTCTTCCAAGCACTAAACAATATTCAACACATACTGGAACAACTTCCTGTAAAAAAAAAAAGAAAACATGGCTGTAGTAAATGAATTTGAAAAAGAATCACAGAAGTAAACTCTGCGGGATGGCACTGACACACACAGCAATCAGGAAATATATGCACAGCACCCTCTACAGTTCAAACTCAGAAATACTTTTGATTTTATATAATGATTCAAGTCATACAGATTGGTGACAGCTATCAATTGAGACAATTTTATGGTATACTTCCCTCTATGGTTGTTATTAGAAAGGGAACAATATCTCATACACAGAATAGCAGGAATACAAACAGTATCCAAAGTATGAATATTCGTTTTAGCTAAAATTACAATATGTGTACAGCAAACATAATCTCTTTGTTCAGGGAAAATTGGAGGTTGGAGTGATTTCAATTAATGTGCACAAAAATTGAACAATCTTGTTTTTTTTAGTTTATTACATTTTTTTTGCAAACTCTCATTTATGGGTGCCAGCGAGATGATGTTTTACGAACATTTTAATAAGTGATTTTCCATTCACTGCGAGATCTCGCGTATTGTGTGGAAGGCATGGATCGAATGACAATGAACGATGGATTTAATTTTGATCTTTTCTTTTCTTTCATCGAACAATGTTTTGATGCTACCACGCTATTACCTTTGTTTGTCTTGTTTTTACAGTTGCTTTTAAGCATAATGTGGGATTTTGTGGTGAACATAAAATGGTTTTCAGTGATTCACGGTTGACACAAAGTGTGTTTGAATTTGGAATAATCAAAAACAAACAATGCATTTTACATGCAATATTCAACACATAACCAGACGATGACATCACATGCATTACCTGGAAATGTTTTTCTAGGACATCAATTTTACCTCTTCCAGGACAGTTCTGAGTCAGTGATAAATCAACAAACGTGAACAACAATTCTAGTATCTGTAGAAAACAAAAAACTTAATTATAATTCTTCAATACTCTTGACAATTAAAATTATAATTTATACATGTGTGAAGTAACTGCCCCAGTCTTGTTAGTGGTACTGTTAATTATGAGGATATACAGATACTTTTAAAGTAAAGCACACTGCAGCAAAATCAAGAAACATGAGCAGTGTGTTTTGCAAATCTTTTCCAATTTTTTACTGATAATCCATGAAAAATGAGCTTCGCGGTACCAAATTAATTGACAAGTGGTGAATACACTAGGACACATTGTCTCATTGTCACTATTTTCACCAAATATGGGCAAAAAGAGTCAATCACCTTGTCTGCGACAGCTGCTTTACGTTTCTGTTGACTTCCTATGAGGCCTGCCAAAAGAGAAACCAAATATAAATATTTAAACATGAGACAATCCAACGATGTAATCGCCAATTGCAAACAAAATGGGGGTTAGCATGAGTATTTCAACAACACAGCAAAATGATAATTCAGGTTTACAAGCGTTGATATTTTCTCTATTGGAAGCATGTCTACCAATACAACAGTCATGAGCGTCAGTTATAAAAACTATTCACACACTCCGCAACCAGTATTTCCACTCCAGGAAGTCTCATTTGGGAGAAAACTTTCTCAATGGTCAATTGCAAGTTACACAATGAAATGTCCTTGTCTAAGCAACTCTTCCTTTTTAATGTTAAATGTATTTAAAGAGCCAAGTTGCTTAGAGACACACTACAAAACCGAAAACAGACTTTATGCAAAACGAACAAGAACAAAGTTATAAATGCAATGAGAATGGCACAATATTAATAGCTGTATTTGAATGTTAAATCAGAAGCATGTTAATCAAAAAGTTGATTCTATAAGTATTTTTTGTTTATTGTGAGATCTCTCATAGTGCGTGAAAGTGGTATGACTGTCTGCCAGTTGCAAACAAGTTTGATTTTCAACTTCTCTTTTCCATAGTCCTATGTCGAAATACGTATATTTCAGAGTAGAATATAGAATTGAGATATCCTTACTTCAGCAAAGTTGACCATCAAAAATGTGTAAAGCAAATAATTAAGTGTGGAAAAACCCATGCGGACATTGAAAGCATAGCATATATGCAATATATACCAATGTTGTAAATTAAATCACTTGCAAGTGAAAAAAGATGGCCACAGGGTTATGTCCAGGTCACCAGAGGGTGCCATCTAATGAAATCCATCATTTTGTCATGGAACTTGTGGAACAAGATGAGAACTTACTGTAGAACCCTGAGCAATATTTTTGTTATACGCTGCCATCTTGAGAGGTTAAGTAATTATCTGACAGCCTCTCACTGATTATTTTATGTTTCATTTCCTCTAATTGTATGAATCACAATTTTTTTACGTTCTCCACCACGACCAATTTCAATGAAATGGCAACAACTCAACCCTTTTTCTGTAGATTGTATTTTTATTTTTCCAAAATTGACCATTTTTACACCCCTTGAGCTAATTGTATTGTGTTGGCATAAGAGATATGGCACCACAACAGTTCTCATTTTAAGTCTAATAAGTAACACAAAATAACTCTTTTTATCCCTATGATAGTCACTACTCGTACATCTTGAATTGAGGAAAGATACATGGGCGTGTATTTGTCTCATCAGCATTGTGACAACTTCCATTTAACTTTACACCTACCAAGTAATTTATATTAATAATTAATTTAATATTTTATCAAATTTAAGTCAAGTTCGCGTAACTTAGGATTAGTAAAGGAGGAATGTATTGTACACTTTTTATTAATATAACTGTACCACACCTACCCTCTTTACTAACCCTAAGCTTCGTAAACATTTCTATATCAATTACAGGATGTATGATGTTATTTCTACTTTATTACATTTTTATTTAATGAAACTTGAATTAATTGCAATTTTATATTGAATTGTGATGTAATTAACCAAACTCCAAATAAATCCCAACCCTATATAAAGTTGCATTTTAATCTAAACATAAATATATTAAAAGTAAAATCAACTATATCAAAAGTTAATCCAATAATCTTGTGACAAGTTCTATTTAACTTTACAACTACCAAGTGATGACCCTCACTATTTTTCATAATTTATATTAATATTTAATCAAATTTAAATTGGGATCACAGTGAATAATGCACTATTTTGTTTTTTTAAATGTTAATAATCTACGTTAATTGCGCAAATTTCTTGCTGAAAATTAATAGTTTATCGTACGCTATACAAAACCCAGTCCTTGTCATTGTTATTTTAGTACATGCGCTTCAAATAGAGTAGCTATGGAAAGAAGACTAAAGAAATAGAAGCTGACATACTGGGTTTGACTATCTGGTGTGAAAAAGCAGAGAGAAGATAGGTGGGATAAAGATGGTAGAAAGTGTACTCACAACCGGAGTTATCTACTGAAATAAAGAAAACGAAAAGAAAAAGAACGGAAGAAAATACAGAAAGATATGTACACATAAAAAAATGATAATCATGTCCCTGCAAGATTTTTATTTTGTCTTCGTTAGTTTGTAGTGAAATTTATGATTAATGTGTTTTATTACTATCACCATGACATTAATACGATGGTCATAATAACAATTACTGTAAAAGGGTTAATTATTCACTGGGTTTTAATTTTGCTGACTGGAAAATGCGCTAAATTAAAACCCAGTGAATATGAACAATTTAGCATAGAACACATTATCTAAATTATAAAACCGTGAATTTAAAACCCAATGAATATGCCTGAAATGGTAAATCAGCAAAATTTAAACCCAGTATGTGCAATGAGTAAGGCAAAACCTCAGAAGTATTGGGAATCACGTTAACAAACTCTAAAACCCACAAAACCTTGTATAAAATATAATATTTAGAGATTAAATGTCAGTGAATTAGTAAGCAAGCTATAGTGAGCAAGCTAGCTACATGTAACTTGCTACCCCAATACTTCTGAGACTCAAACACAGACATGTTCACAAGCAGATGAGAATATGCAGATTAACATATATATTATATCCCTCTTTGTGTATCCAAGATAAAGTTCTATCTTACAAACTTTCATATTAAAAGTGTGATTTATGTTTATTTCTGAAAAATACACACTTTTCTATGCAATGAGCATGGTGGCATAATTAAGTCTGGTGAGATTTCATAAAATTTTTTTCAAATCTGTACACAACATTTTGTTTTTTCTGTGAGGCCAGAATGTGGAATAAGAATTGGAAATACCAGTATTATATTCAGAGAATTGCAACAATTTAAACTAATACTTGTTACTTTGTTGTTACTATTAGCATGTGACAATAATAAGAACACTGTTCAAGGGAGGAGCATCACAATTCCACATCATAAATAGAACAAAGAAATAACAAAAGAATTTCCAATTACTACATGTACCATATTGTGTCTAAAACGCCAGGCAAGATAGTTTACCATAAAGCATGAAGAGTGAAAGTTCCAATGTTAAATGAAATAAAAAACTTACCCAAGTATGAGTAAATTACATTATTTTGTAAAGTGTATTTGAATGCAACTTGCTTTAAAGGTAGATCTACTCATAAAATACCCACAATTCATTGCACACACTCAGAACCAATATAAAGACTCAATTAGGAAAAACAAATTATGAGCCAATAAACAGATTTTCAAGAAACCATTGGTTACAAATTCAGTAATGGCAGCTATTTTATCGATTTTAGAACCGCCTTTTTTTGCAAAATTTAATTATTTTTTAAATCTGGAAAAAAAAGAAATGAAACTTCATTTGTGGTTTTTTTTAAATCTGCACTCAAAATAGCAATATTTGTATAATATTTGGCTTAGGTTTTCCAAAATATAGTTTTGCGCCAAGGAATAGAATGCTGTTCATTGTTGCCTAGTAACCAAATGAACATTATACTAATTTAAACATTAAATATTGCCAAATGATTTTAGCAATGCTGTCAATAATTCTACCAGTAGGATTCTACATTACATCCTGGCACTAGAAGATGGCAATAATCTCTCATTATGCGCAAGTTCATATAACAATACAATAAGATCTTCATCACATAATGGAAGCTGGTGCCCTTACATTCATCCACCCTTACAATATTGTATCCATGGCAAATACATACCAACAACAGCCTTGGCTCTACCTGTGTAAAATGACAATGCCAGCATGAGAGCATCTTTGAACTTCACCAGTTTTACTAACAAATCAATTCTCTGAAATAAACAACAGACGTAGAATTGTAAATAAAATATGGAAATAAACAATCATAAGAAACAAACATTTCCATGCAGTTATAATAATAATACTATGAGGTTATGACAGCCGAAGTTAATGCAATCCCATATTGCCTGAGTGCATACTTTGTGGTATCCTCTGAATAACCTCATTAATATACCGGTAGTCACACTTTAGTGAGATACAACAGCCTCAAATAAAAAGTATTTGTACATGTGCGATCATTTGCATTCAGCTACATGAAGATTGTTCAAATTTATTACTACCTCAATGGCAAAAACCCAAATTTTCATCCATTTATCGGGGGACTAAAAATTCTTACCACTTCAATCAATTAGATCAACATCAATGAAGTGATCAAAATGTTAAATTTTCAATTCTCACAAATAAAAAATCGAAAATATGGATACAAGTGAAAAAACTCAACACTGAATGAAAAGAATAAAAACAATTCTCACCAATATTGGTAGAAAATGAATATCTAGTCTCACCAAATACAAAGAAATATCTCATAGTTTTCCCCAATAGGGAATACTGACAACACATATTAGAGTGAATTTAATTTTAACAAATTAATCAAGAGAATGACAACTGACATAACCCAGAGTTTTAGATTTGTAGTGCTGTGAACCTGCTATGACCCACAAAGTTTTCATGCATATTTCAACATACATAAGGGTGTCAATAATATTAACACATACCTCTTTCCATGTTCTCATAGTCATAACATGAATTGACTGAGAATACAAAAAAATACACCAACAGAAATTGATTAAAATTTTACCATTAAAATATCAAGTGTAATTTTTAATTGATTAATGATTGTAATTAATAAACAAGTACTTCATAGAAAATGAAAGGTATATTTTGTTCTATTTCAGTTTCATTTGTTGTAAAAAAAAATAATATATTCAAATTAGGCAATTAACATAGAATATATTAACAAGACATAACTGAACTAGTGAATAAATCTTATCTATTAAATGGTTACCTGAGTAGAGCATATTGTTGTGCCGTACTCATATTTTTATTTGAAATTTGTTTTTATTTACATAACATTTCACTGAGTAAAATATTAAGAACTTTCATACAGCCAAATATCAAACACTTTAATCTTTTTAATTGACACGATATAAGTGGCAGGTGGGAAAAACAGCTGGAATATTGTCATGGCTGGCTGCCATCTATACAGATAATGAGCTGAAAAAATACTTGAGGTTCAGCCAATCAAACACCTGTTATCGTAGATAATTAACATAATAACTGCATATGTAATCACTTACCTTTGTGCCGAGTAACAACAGTTGTCCAGTGTAACCAACGACAGACTGATAACATGCATGCTCCCCTGCCAAAGCCTATCAAAATATGTCAAAATATGATATTATGCATTATATAAAGTATTCGCTTGGTGTCAAATAAAATAATTCCCTTGAAAATCCATCTTATTAGCATAAATGCATTTTAAAAATTTGCCCAACATGCATATGCAAAGTATACAACAGAATGTTCTTGAATGAAATAAAACCATTTACATGTTGCATTCAAGTAATGCCCCAAATTTGGATGTGTAACTGTTTTTACATCAAACTTGTAAAGCAGGGGGGTCATCAGCTGCGTATGCATCAGATGGTCATAGCGTGTCAATGTTTACAAACAAGTGTCTACCCATGAACCTTTGCATTTTTGATATCGTCGCTTGGGACTCAATTCCCGCATATGCGCTATAATACAGAAATCACTGAAATGATTGAAACCATATAGCAATGACAAGTATACTATCCAAACAACCCCCCTACCCTACATCACCAACACTCACCAATGCTTTGCTAACATTGCCACCAGTAGCCAGGGATTTAAAATAACTAGATCCATAAACTAATTCTACATCGACCAAATCAATTACTTCTAACTCTTCTTCTGTTCTTACATCAACAATATGTAATCTTTCAGTGGTGTCGACTATTACCAAAGTCCTAGAATTGAACCACTTTAAGAACAAAATGAAAAATTAATAAAAAAAATAGTCAAAATCTGTTATATTGATGGATTTAATGTACATTACATAAAGTGTTTCGAAAATGAAACTTGTTTCCATGGAAATTGTACTTATGAAAATCTAAGCTATTTTGAATACAACTTGGTTACGGTTGATCGTAAAAATTTCATGAAATTCTTTTAAAAATTGCTGATACTTTATGAATACACTGCTTATTGTATACAAAGCATATGTTGAAACAAAAATTTCTGATCACAGACCAAATTTTTGGAATAAATTTTATGCTGATTGCTAAGTTACCAAATAGGACTTTATGTAAAAAACTAAATTATGAAAATTACGAATTTACGTTATATTACGAAATATTTTCTCTATTTTGAATCAAATTATAAGTCATTTTGTTCATACTTTCATTGCTATGCGTTCATGTCATTAGGAAATGGAAATTAAGAATAATTGAAATCATATTTGTTTTATTAAATACTATAATACATTTTAGTTTCACAAGAAACAAAGAGTCTGTGTACAAACTCGAAAATGACAAGTGACCAATTTAGAATCGCCTTCCATCAACCCCTGCCATAAAGATTCACTTGTTTAAACTTCAGAACATGTGAACACACTGACTACTTTCTGTTGTAAATAGGGCATTATTTGATTGTAATAATGCAACATATGCCCTATGTACATGCATTTCATCAAAGCAGTCATAGTAAACCACATTTATTGAGTGACAAATAAATAAATAAATAAATAAATAAATAAATAAATAAATAAATAAATAAATAAATAAATAAATAAATAAATAAATAAATAAATAAATAAATAAATAAATAAAAATAATATAAATAAATAAATACCAGTAATACCATTAAGAGAAAAACATAGGATTTCATCTAACCAATGTTGCCTTTTAAAGCAGAATTATGGCAAGAATAGAAAAGTAAAAACTCACTGCAATATTAAGTAGAATATATGGCACTTCTATTTTTTGTAGCGGAGCAAACTTTATGTTAGCAGCATCCTGACACATAATCTAAAATAGAAATTGATGTACATGTTTGAACAGTTAAATAATACTCTGTTATCGGCTATCGGGTTTGACCATAATCACCACTAAATAATAGATAATAGTGATAATTCGATATTATCTTACCTGATAGAAGTGGATAATATTGCCCCTTGCATAGGCTAACACTGGGTCAATAACTCGAGCTGAATCTGATATTTGTATAATTACAAACTGCCATGCTAATAGAGGTAATGTAGTCTGGTCACCCTGGGATAAAAATAAAACACTTAATGTTTGGGTCTATATAACCAGTGGGTAGAGGGACAAAAGAAATAAATGAACAAATGCATGAACAAAGAACAAACCAGTGAGTGACTCGTGGTGCAATATAACTTCACAACAGAAGACTCTAAAATCCAGCAATTTCCATGAAAAAGTGAAATGAGTAAACATACCTTCAATACTTTAGTAAACAATACTTGTAGTTTGGGTTTTATAGTGACTATCAATACCTGGATAAAAACATTAAGAAATCATTGATAACTCCTACTCAATTATAATCTATACATAAATAAATAAATAAATATTCAAATAAGAGAAACATATTCTTTATTGAATTATATTTTTTCAAAGTAACTGGTCAATCAGCACTGGATTCAAAATACAATAGGAAACAAAATTATAGATGAAAACAGTCTATCAGGGATCCAAGCAAGAAGAGCCAAAATGCACGAAATGTGTAATTTAATTCGCTGAGATTTGCATGGTGATGGTTGCCAATAATGAGAAGAAATTTTTAAAATTTTTGAAGAATTCAGCTTTCTTTGACCCCTAGACGTATTTGCAAAAATAGATTGATTTTCATAAAATGTTGTTCCCACAAATGCTATTGATCAAATCTTGAATAATTCCAATCAGTAAAAATTGAATTATAGTGTATACAATAAAAAGTTACCTTAGATAGTGTTGCCATGGCGAGAAGAGAAACGTCTTGCAAAGGATGATCCTTGACAGAAGCATTCATATGTAAAGGTTCAATGGTACATACTTCACCACGACTTGAAAAAAAAGAAATAAATTTACTTTGAAACAGCTTTCAAGTCGTCCACATCAATGAAATTCTTTACAATAAACTGGTTAGTAGATCATGGTTGCCTAGATAGAGCTGCCATATTGAAGAATGGCTCCTGTCCGTATTTCAATGAAACAACTTACCTTCCAGAAAACAGACATCTTGATTCGCAAGATCGCATTCCCATGACTCTCCTGAAAATACATAATTTGAAAAATAACTTATTAAAATTATTTAAAAACAATAAATTATTGCTCATATAAAGAAACCCACCTTTTCCATGCTCTGTTTATCAACTATCTCCTCACATTATACATCAACAAATATTGTTTAACCAGTGTTTTAAAGTGCGCTCTCTTTGTCAAGTTGACATCCTCTCCTTTTCATTTTTTTCCCTTGCCATAAAACTCAGCAAATTCTGATAGGCAGCATGTATTAGAGACATGCTGAATTAGAATTATGTACCGATATTTTACCGAGATGAACTACATGACCTCTCGACACAGCTTGTAGAAGAGTATGTTTACATCTAGTGTTGCAAAACCATGCAATTCAGAAGAAATTTTTACATTGTTTTTGGAAAGTACCAGACCAAATGTATACAACAAACAACAGATGATGTGATGTCATATTCATAGTAATATACTAGTATATTGCAGATATTGTTATTTTTTAACCATCACCAACAGTGTAGTCTTGACAATATATGGTAGTTCCCGATTTCATATCACGTTATCAAAAATACTTACTCAGCTGAGTGGACATAGACTTATGATACATGAAGTCCACAGAGAGTCACAAACATGGAATTCATTGATAACTAAGTCCAAAATTTATACTTCATGTTTAAGGATTGCAATTAATTCAATTGTTTTAAATAAAATCAAGGATTTATAAAAAAAAAAACTAGATCAAAAAAATCAGAAACAACAGGACTGGCTCTTAATCAAATTATTGACTTTTTAAATAATAATGAGAATTCTCATATTGATTTCAATTGCAAACTATATACTTACTTAAAGCTAAGTTCAAATACAGAACCTCCGCTATCACTACAAATGGCAAGAGTTGGGTCATCAGTAAACTGAGAATAAAAACAAGAAACATGTCACATGACTATATTTGATATACGATTCTGTAATAGACAAGTTTTGAGTTACAGCGACATCAGTTGGTTTTCGTACGAGAATGGAAGGTTGATTTCTAGATTGTGGAATTCGCTAGTTTCTCTTATTTTTGGTCTTCTGATGAACTATTGTTTACGTGACGAAATCACCCCCCCCCCCCAAGCAGATGAAATTGGAAAGTTTTTACACCAGAGCATGCAAGTTATACTTGTCTATTGCTTCTAGCAAGTAACATCATCTAATACCGTTTCTTTCAAATGACGTCGCTAATCATTATGTCATGTGATTAATTATTCACAAGGATGTTTATTTTGGACAAAACTAATGTGTAAACAAAAACAAAAATACCGACAGACGTATTATTTATGTTGTGGCATTGGAATCATTTCTCAAGGGCTTTGTTAAGAAATTATTAACTGCTTTGGATTCAGAACAAATCACGATAAAGTCAACGCAAGTTCGGCACTAGGGGTTAAAATTATTGTTATCGTTTGCACACATTGACCTCATTTAATCTGTTACACATGTTGTACTGCGTTCTATGATTATGCCAGGTTAATTTTTGTTAAATTCTCGCAGTCTTTACAATTCTGGTATACATTCACTTTGGTATAAACTCACTCAGCTATCAGAGTAAGCCATGTGCATTTCAATAATGACATGACATGCATTAAAGTGACAGTCATTGCGAAGTTCAAACTGAAGGCGCCAAAATAAACTTAACATGAAAACTGCAATTTCCCTTGGAATATTCTTTTAGGACATTCTGTTGACTATAACCCTATCTTGAATTGTGTTGCTGATGGTGTCTGTAGATGGGTGATTTTGTAAATGCTATTTCTCTGAAAATTGTTTTCAAGCATAGAAATTGCATGAAATATCACTAAAACAGTAAATATTTGCATTGTCAGAGTATTCTACACTTGTACACAGTGCACTATTATAAGATAACAAGCTTATAATTTCATTGGAACACCCCTTAGTTTATACACATAATTTAGGTAAATTTCTAATGATTGAATGCAAAGTCATAATAAACACTCTTAAGCATCTTCTAAAGGATATTGTAATGCTCAAAGAACAAATTGATATTAAGATTAGTTAATGTTGGCAACTGTACTAAGTGTTTATAATTAAACACTCAAGTCAATCTTTGATATATTGATGTTATTAATACTTTCAGTCAGCTTCATAGCTTCATGGTTTATCAAACTTGAGAATTAAATGTCACACATACAAACTAAAACAATTACAGACTGTACAATAAATTGTTCAGTTTTGATGAAGAGATTGTGGTTGCCTAGATACAGCAGCCATATTGGAGAATGGCTCCTGTATCCAGATTTACATGGAAACATAGAACATTTACACGTCTTACCTTAATATGTAGTACGGCAGATCCCGGTGGATGAGCGTCGGTTATTGTTCGTAATAATTTACCATTTGATAAATCCCACATTGTAACCTGAATTCAAACACGTGTCATTTGTATCAATAAATAGAAATACATTCCAAATGTTGGAGGAGACGCTTACAGTAAGGCCATTTAACTCTCAGCACAGTCCAAACATTGTGACAAACATACATTTATGAATACCATACCCATAACGAAAGCACAGATTGAGAAATATACAACATACCTGTCCTTTTGCAAACCCAGCCAACAACCGAGAACAGTCGTTATTGATACTGATAGCAGAGACAGCACCGTACTGAGCACCGACTGCTGTACTACCGAGACACCATTTCAATGCTTGTTTGGGATCTGAAAAGAACATTATATAACAATTGACGCACAATTCCTATTATATTTTTATTTTATTTACAGGTCATTCAATTATTTAGAGATAATAATGATTGATTTTGACAATCCATGCATTGAGCTGAAATCATAGAGTCACTCAACCAATTTACATATTTTATACATGTAACATTATACTCATCCTGAGAATACTGAATATAATTTAGTTGCTAGCTGGAAATGATAACATCATACTTTGTTATTCATTATTAAAAGTGATGTTAACAATTTGCTATTTGATTCAATGACCACCAAATACAGCACAAACTTCTGCCGATAATGTATGGCATCAAATATGGTCAATGTAGACCTCAAATGTGAAAGACTACTGAGATCTCATTGCCAACTAGAGCATCACAAGACTTAATTTTGCTTCTTAAATAGTGCTTCATTCACTCATGTTATTGCATATACTGTTTAATTACCATGGTTATATAGGTCAGAAGTAAACACAATGATAGGAGAGAATAAAATATTTGAAAAGTCAAAAATTTAACATGACTCTCTCGCTATCAACAAGTCATTTGTATGTCAGTTTTGTTGGTATGGCTGTCAACATCTAGAATGTAGAATATAGAATATTGAATATAGAATGTAGAATATAGAATGTAGAATATAGAATATAGAATGTAGAATATAGAATATACAATGTAGAATGTAGAATATAGAATATAGAATGTAGAATGTAGAATATGGGGTATAGGAAAAAGGTGTTTAGTACATATTGAGAGTGATACCAAAAATACAAATTCCATCAAAATAAAAACATTCATCAGTAAGTCGTATCAAGTACGATTTTAAATCCAATTTCAATATTAGTGTATGATTTCACATTAAGACTTCAATATGATCCCAAAGGTTCTGCCCTAATCTAATCAGCCCTGAATACTCACCAAATACCAAAACAATGCCATGTGACGTCCCAATCGATATCAACGCTGATACCGCCATGGCTGTAGGTTTACCTGCATCTACTCGATCCTAATAAAGTAAGACAAGTAATTTATTAATAACAGAGAATAAACCTACATAACATTCGTCAAATAATCTACCATGAATGACACTCGTACCAAATTAACTCAAAAACCTCCCAGGCATCACCAAGGAATACAGCACTTGTTAAGGTTAAGATAAACAAACTAATTTGCATCAACAATGTGTGTCAATAACCAACGATACTCAATGTTCATAAGGTTGAATGCAAAATTTAGTCTGCGTTAATGTACATACCATACTTGACCTCGTTAGCGCCCATGCCCGGTCAAGCGCTTCTCCATTATATTCGGGGTCACATTCGGCAAAGTGCCCACCCCTTCAATATGCCACTAATTTAAAACTTGGTCTATGATAATTGCTTAGCTAATACTGGGAATATGTTGTGAATGTGTAGACCACGGTAATTTATATTGTAATATAATGTGCATATTTGACCATTCCTGTTTCTTCATTGTAAATGTCAATGACGACGCACCTAATTTTATTTTCCCTCAACGATGTAATATTCCCCTCAATCTGTCACACTGTCAATTAAAATTGTCATTTGCACTCTTTTATCTTGATTTTATGTGTTGAGGACCCTGGGCGCTAACGCGGTCGAGTACAGTAATTACCCCGCGGTAAGTATTAGTTTACATCTTTGTATCAAACACTGTATAAAAGCAAACAAAGTAAGTCAAAGAAACGCTGTCCAATGCACAAATGATGAAATGAGTTTTGAATTGTAGATTCAATTTTAGATTGCGCCATCTAGTGGCAAGTTTATGATAAACTCAACTAAGGAAAGCGTTACATATCAACTTACAGCCGCTGACATCAGCTGTGACGATATTCCCTTCAACATAACATGTCTGATTATTGACCCATGGACGGCATACATAACACTACTCTTCTTCCTCCTGAAGGAAGAAATAAAAAATCATTAGCACACTTACAGGTCACATGACATGTCTAGGCCAATCACCAGGTTTGAAAGTAAATCAAGTCAACTAAAGAAGTATACAAAGAATAATTAACACAATAAAAACAAAAGAAACATCTGAAGTGGACACCATAAGGCATGGTGTCCTACACATGTCCCACACAAACCTTAAACATTATTTATTGAAACTCTCATACATACTGTTTCTGTGGTGATTTATCCAAACTAGCAGCACTGCCGACACTGATGGAATCGAGTGATTGGTCACCGGGCTCCGTTGAAAACAACCCAAAGTCATCGTCATCCAGCTCAAACACATCATCAGGCTGTCAGACAAAATCATAAAATTTACAAAATTTGGTTAAAAACAGGAAACTGTCAAATGGTATGACGTAAGTTTATACTTATACCATAACATTTTATTTTTGATTATCAAATACTGTAAAGGGGTTAATTATTCACTTTGTTTTAATTTTGCTTATTTTTCTGAATGGAAAATGCGCTAAATAAACCCAGTGAATATGTAAAATTTAGCATAGAACACATTATCTAAATGATAAAACCGTGAATTTAAAACCCACTGAATATGCCTGAAATGGTAAATCAGTGAAATTTTAAACGCAGTGGAAATTAGTCATTTTACAGTAGTTCGTTTTATTTTGTATATTTACCAAAATGTCAAGGCGATGGCATACTGTCTGAGTGCATGCTTTACGGTATCCTCGTAATAACCTTATTATTATTCATCTTTTCCTCCCAATGATACAATGATACATCATGGGAATGCCGAAATCCAAAAAGTTTAGAACAGAATCAGCAAAAGTTTTTGTGTAGAGTTTGTTCAAACCCTGGTGGCAGCCATGTTTGTTTTTATTCTTAGAGGATGCTTAAACGTAATAATTCCATATTTGGAATTCGCATTTCCTAATATTGTAGAATGAAAATACCACGTAAAATACTGCAAAATTGTGGCATGCTGTAACTTATGGTGTTACGGTGACAGATGTATAATAATACTTATTCACAGAATTTGGCATAATAACCTTACATTTGTACTTTATTTGTACTTACCTCGTTTAATATTGACTCTAAAGTAGGTACATCATCAAGTTCAGGAATATCAAGGTCACTATCATCAAACTGCACAGAAGAAAAGGTTCAAAGGTCAACAATATGTGCACCAATTTGTATTTTTACATATAAAAAATGATGTTCTGGATAGATATATTTTTTTTCTTTTATGTGAGAAAAAAGGATTGATTGCAAAGACAAACATTATTTGGATTTGTATTACCTTCAGCAGACCAGGGAAAAACCACACATTGTTTGGGTTAATTCACATTTAGAATTATTATTTTTAATATTATTATTTATAATTTCATATGCTGTTTATTACTTTTTATACTAGACTAGTTTTAAGCAAACTATATCTGTGTTCCACACCAGATAACATCTTGTAAATTATTATTATTATCTTATGTACACAAGTTTTTTTCTAGTGGGATAAATAAATTAAAAAAAAAATGTTTCTCTAACATTACAATTTGGAATTGTATCATCTTCAGCAGCTAGACCACGGAAATATTGACAACCTCACATTGTATGGGTTTATTCATTAGAAGAATGCATTGGATTGTGGGAAAATCATTGTTTATCAACATAAATATTGCACATATGCAATGTGCGAGACGACCACCACCTTTTAATTTCACCATTTTGATATTTGAGGCTTTTCACTGGGTTTTAAGACCACAAACTTGGCAGGGAATCAATGAGTTCTATTGTTATTTCTATTGTTGTTTTACATTTTTAGGTAGATTCCTTGTATCAACTAAAACGGCTTCGGCCGATGGTTCATTGCAAAAAACAAATTGTTATGTTACGTAACATTTCTTCATTTACGCTGGATTTTCCCGTTTTGTAAACCACCTTGACTTCAATTGATGTAGTGACATATGATTACGTAGGTAGCAGTGAAATGTGCAGCTCATTCCGCGTTGCAAATGATGTACAAACCGTACAGACTCCGGAAATGGTCTTGGAAATTGTACATAATGTCAATGAATGAGAATTAAATCACGCCCCCAAACTGAAACTGGCGTTATCTGTGTACATGTCGCCAGGAATTATAAATATGGAAATATTAAACAGCGAATGGAAAAAGCAAATATCGTTATTATGCCACAAGAGCCGAACTTACATCTAATGTGTCACTGCCCGGAACATTTGCAGTGGCAGCAAGTGCACTTTCCAATCCGTCCGCCATCTTGTAGTGACTTAATAAACAGTGATGGCGCTATATAACCAAAACAAATCTTGTTTGTCGCCACATGAGGGGGGTATTACTCGTACATGTACAGTAGCAAAAAATAATAAATAATACCATAGTGTTTATTGTCCAAGTTGATGTATACTACTTATACGACTAAACATGCAAAAGTAACACTATTTATTTGCAATTCTGGTCGACAGTGACTTCACCAATATACAGCTCTGAAAATGTAATACAAGCACCCACCACTCCATTAGCAGTCACATTCACAAAATAAGAACAAAACCACAGTCCCTGTGACATAACCAAATACCGTACATGACTCGGCCTTAATCATAATGTTGCGTAGGGCTGTGCAAAGTGGTGGAGTAGTCCAATAATCACATAAATACGGCGATAAATTTGCATTTTCAGCCAATAATTGAATCATGATTTTTGTTTCTTACGAGAAGACGTCGTAAACCACCAATGGCCTATGCAGCCTTGGGCATGTGAGAAAACATTGAATGCAAAATTATTTCATAGTTAAACAGAAATACTTTGGAAAATTGTGTAAAAAACAGAGTTGAATCAAAATAAATAAAGGTATTTTGTCAAGCTAAATTTGTCCGTTTGCATGCATCTTTTTTTCCAAACTATCACTGACTCCAATTTTCAAATCATAATATTTATGCGTGTCGGTGCGGACAATTTGAAGAGAAAAAGGCATATACTGTCTTATATGCGTTTCCTTTGTTTTTCTAGCTCTCCGAGACCAGAAACTTATTATTGTTTTATTGGTCAGGTTCTGCCATTCGAAATTTGCATTAACTTTATTATTTTTTCAAACGCTCAACATTCTCCTGGGGGGGGGGGTTAGAATAGGTTCATTGAACCACTGGCAAAAGACTAAATACAGGACTTGGGATTTGTCTTCCACTTCAATCTTTGATTAAATATTTGCATTTTCTTTAAACTTTCGCATGATATGATTAATTCAGCATTCTAATTAAGAAAAAAATGTTGTCTAGCGTGAAAAGCTAACGTACATAGCCTGCAACCAAATTGGAAGTAAATTAGAATTATAAAATTGTCTACCGGATTACCTATATACACACTATATACATACAGTGATGAAACCATTTAACCCCCTTCCGGAGAATTTTGAGCGTTCGAATAACGAAACCAAGAGAGCTCAGCTAGAATAAACCTAAATTTAAACCGATCCCTCAAAAACTTCAATCTTCAACTTGCAATCTTATATTTCTTTACTAACAAACACAAATAATAAGCTAATCAGAAAAATCTGTTAATTCATTAATTAAGTTTCTATTATCCTTTAAACATTTTGTAAATTATATTTTTTTCTTTATTGTCATGTTATCAAAATCACTATGAGGATACGTGTTCAATAAAGATTATTATTACTATTATTACACTCATTATGAAATTCATTGCAACTGTAATATTTCATCGTACATTTCTTTGACAATGTCTGCTGACATTTAAGCTATTTTTTAACCAGATCATTATTATCATGTACGTACCAAAAAAGGAATGTCATTTTTTGTATAATAAAGCCAGTATTCTATTCAGTCACATATTCGGATACAACTCTGAAAAAATAGTGTGTATATTTCCTCAGTGACCTATTTAAAATTATTGAACTGATCAAGAGTTTAAATAACAAGAAAGTTATTCCTCAGCTCCCGAGAGCGGTTTTTTTATTATTATTATTTTATATGTTGGTTGTTGTCGCTGTCACTCTCCATGCCAGAGTTCTTAACGCAGGCAGAAGCGCCACCTTGCGTGGAGAGTGCGTCGCTGTGTCTGCGGAAGTACTTCGCTGGTTCCCGGCGTCCTTTGCGAATGGCAGGTAGGACGCAGGTAACTAGTAATCGCCATATTGTTCCATTTGGGCCGGTTTTCCGGCCGGAAGGAACGCGACTGGGTGACGTAATTTGAAAACATTCCAAGTTCCGTTTTGCGTAAACGTGTCTGTAATGCTACAATAAAGCCATGCTCATACATACTGCCTGCTTAGATTTACAGATTTGATATGTTCTGTGCAAATTTATAACAAAGGAAACAATTCTTTTTATTCGCCCAAATTTCGAAAGCAAAAGGAAACCCCTGAACGGCCACGAGCGTAAGCGCTGACGTCAGGTAACTAAGGGAAATGGAACAAGCAACGAGAAAGTGGTGTACCAATCAGAATGCCGGAACCGTTACTAGTTACCGGCCTCTTGTGGCTTGGTACGCCATGACACTTGAGGCGGGAACCAGCCAACGGAAGTACTACTGGTGATTGCATGATGGGAGTAATAAGTAAAATAATTTTAGAAAAGTGAAAACTAGAGTGACTATGAAATGAGAGTTGGTTTTAAATATTAAATATCATAAAATCTGGATGAAACAATGAAAGAAAATTGAACTGGTATGAAAGGCTAGTAAATGTTACAAGAATGCAAGGTCAGAATCCGGAGGTCAAAATACGTCACAATGCGTCCATCATGGCGGCTGCAAAGTGTCAACAACTATACGGTAATAGCATTGATTTGCAGGTTGCGTGAATAGGCGGGGGGAAAATATATGCAAATTCTGTGCTTCAGTAACAGTATTTGCTGTTTTATGTAATGAGAATTAATACTAGAAATGCTGCAAAACGACATTTCCTTCTAGTAAACAAAACAACCTTGGGACGTTTATCTTGAGAAATTGAGAAGACGAAAATCCATTGGGACACTGCACTCGTTCTTGTGAAACAATGAACATCCTTCTCAAGGGTATCAATATCATTGGCCATAGTTAATTACCCCGCACATTAGTGATTGGCCTAGGCTGGTTGAAGGCGTTTTTGGAGAGGTGCCTCGCTGGAAATACTCTGGACTTTTCATTCGGGTTTATACTACAATTGTAGAGACATTGTTTTTGAAAGTGTCCAACAGTGAAGGTACGTTATTGAGCACAATCCTCTAAGTAGAACACCGTCCCTGGTGTTGAGGGACGATGAGTAGAATGGACAGCATTTTAAAACCTTCTGTTGCAGACCATGTTGCAATATTTGGTTCAGTCGTGGCCCAACAATATTGCTGTAATTTGTGGACCCACTGAAATTTTACCATCACATTACCGACGTAGATGTTACTTTTAAGGAAGGTTTCTATCCCTTTATCCCCGGTCTGGAAATGGTTATTATCTATGGTGTGAATTTTCCCAATGTTCTGACAGCCCGGGGTGTGGTTTTTCACCAAGCATAGTCTCTTGATAACAGAGCATTACTATATTTCCTTGCATATTCTAGTTTTACAACTGAAGAAGACCATATGTTTTGATACTTTAAATAGATTTAGAAGCTTAACACAATTCTTTAGCTGGCAAGTGTTTCTATACTGGCATATTGACATTATTATTCGTGAGAATTGCTTTTGAGGTACTCTGTGGGGGATTGCAACTTGGAACACTTTTAACAACCTTAATCAGTTTGCCCCTTCTATTCATCGTGTGTTTTAGAAAGATCAATGTTTTTTTCATTATTTTGATAGCTTAAACCTAGTTGTAGTTGGTGGATTGGTTTATTGTGCTTGTTTTGTTATATTATATAAAATACTGTAGAATACTTTATTTTCGCTTGGAATTTATTTTCGCTATTTTCACTGAAGGGATGATTCCGTGAAAATAAAATCCAGCGAATATACTTTTTTTTCTATATTTCACATTAAACTCATGAAAAATCAGTGAAAATAAATTCCAAGCAAAACGCCCAAAAAGCCTTTTCAGCGAAAATTAATTCCAGCGAAAATAAAGTATTCCACAGTATACAAATCATATTTAGGGACAATTCGGTTCCGGGTACTCCTTTACTGCTTATTATTATTCATATTTTGATATCCCACAATGTCTCAATTACGTGTCTGGTAATTCTAACTAACGACTATTTTGCAAAATTTGCTCAGCCTTGCTTCTAACAGTCATTTAAGTCAACTCCCACATTCCACAATGTCCTTCACAGTGAAGGTTAATGCAGATATAATGTAAATAACACAGAGGTAACACTACAATACCTTTACATTCCCTTCCATAACACAACAGTCTTTGTGCTGAGGCAGTTGTGGTTCACTGGTGATGACCAGTTCTCTTGTTATAAAATTGAATATATAAAATGTAATCTAAATCTGAGGCTACTGATACAGAAACAGGAAGTACGGTAACCTCATGAAACAGTCGCAGTATTCGTATTAAACATTGTGCAATCAAGTTAAAACTTCATAGGTATACCCTGTACGCGAGTTGAGTTTACATTGATGTACATGTGTATTTGCAGCTGAGTGCCTTGTGTAATATGAATGACGCACATTTTCATTGTGACCTTTAACCTGTCGGCACCCCCTATGTATAGCGCTGTGTTGATCAGGCGAAGCAATGATCAATGGATCGTCTGTCTTTATTAGTCTCTGACACAGTCCATGTACACAGGGCTAGTCTATGTATGTAAGAGCATAGTCAATGTATGCTACGGCTTGTAACATAAAGATTAAAATACCCTAACTCTTTTCAAACATCAGGATGTTGTCTGTTCCTTGTGTATAAGAAATAATTTACACACTGGGAGTGACAATATCCCGATGTCTGATAAAAGTCGTATTTGTATCTTTATGTTACAAGTGACTGTGACATGAGTACTGAATTTTAGTTTTATTGCCACAAGGCAACCATGTATCTTTGCACTAAAGCAAGGTAGCTTGATCAATGAATATCATAGAAACTGTGTTGAGTCTTTAAAGTAATTATTAATAATTGCATGGAATAGGAAGCCAGTGTTGAATGATCACCATGTTATGTACCGGTGCTATTATTTGTGGGTGTGTATCTGTTGCGTCGACCCATTCAGTGGGACTGTACAGTCTGACCAATGATTGAGAATTTACTTTGTGATGCATTTTGATAAAGTTTTAATAAGTTTATAATTTTACATTTTAATACTTTTTTAAAGGATAGGTTATAAAACTGATGGTGAAATATTATCATGTGACATGTATGTATTAACATAAAATAAATCTTATTTTATTAGATACCTTCCTTAACATGAAACTACGAAGATGACTGATTGACTTCATAATAGTGTGTCATTAACTGAATTGAAATACCTGTCATTGTCTACACACAGGGACAAGAAACTAGTACAATCAAACAGACGAATCTATTTGCTTAAACTGTAATGGAGGCAGCTTTTGAACCAAAGAACCAAAGGGAATGTGATGAAAGAAGTGATTTCAATCAAGATGTGAAAGCACCTGCTACAACACCTCATCATCGTGAAAAAAATAAATTGCAAAAAAAGAAGAAGATTTGCACTGTTAAGAAACAGTACTATTGCGAACAGTGTGGGAAAGTATTTAGTAGAAATACTCACTTGTTGTCCCATATGAAAATTCACACAGATGAGAAGCCATATCAATGTGAACAGTGTGAAAGACGATTTGCACGAAAGAGCGACTTGACAGCTCATGTGAAGATACACACTGGTGAGAAACCGTATCATTGCAAGCTCTGCGGAAAAAAATTTATTCGAAATAGTTCTTTAACAATGCATATGATGATCCATTCTGATATTAAACCGCACATGTGTGAATATTGTGGAAAGACGTTTTCACAAAAAAGTTACATTCGTATTCACATCAGAATGCACACTGGAGAGAAACCCTACCAGTGTAAATTGTGTGTGAAAAGATTTGCTCAAAAGGGTGATTTACATAGCCACCAGAGGTGTCATACTGGTGAGAAACCTTACCACTGTGAACAATGTAAAAAGAGTTTTACTCAAAAAAATAAGTTGAACATTCATATGAGAACTCACACTGGTGAGAAACCATATCAGTGTAAATTATGTGAAAAGGCGTTTGTTTGCGCTGCAGGCTTGAATGATCATATCATGACACACACTGGTGAGAAGCCATACCAATGTGAAAAGTGTGGAAAGAGATTTTCCTTATCTGGTACCTTGACAATTCATAGAAGAACACACACAGATGAAAAACCATATCAATGCGAAAAATGTGGGAAAATATTTGCTCGGATTTGCATCTTGAGAAGTCACATGACAACACATACCGGCGAGAAACCATACCAGTGTGAACAATGTGGAAGAAAATTTTCCAGAAAAGGTGTATTACAAAATCATACGAGAACCCACACTGGTCAGAAACCACACCAGTGTGAACATTGTGGAAAGAGGTTCACACGAAGTTCAACTTTAAACAAACACACGACTACTCACTGGTAATGTAGAGTGTGGAAAGCTGACATTCAATTTGAAAAAAAATCTTGAAACATAGTTGAACTCTGGTGACCTTGCCCTTTGTGATATAATATTATTCCCTTTATCATAATTTGTCATAATTAATTTTGAATACAAAAAAGTTTTGGGGTTGAAACAACAGTGGGAAAGCAGTTTATTGAATGTCCTTGATAGATGTAAATATCTTACAAAAACATTGATGCCTAATTTGTTTAATTATATTAAGGAACATAATTTCCAGCTTTATTCAAAGTAATTCAGATATTTTAGTATAAAAACAAATGCCTCATTTCAGAAAAAGAAATGCTGCATTTAGACGTGAATAGATTCATAAAACATGCAAGATAACAGAAAATCTTAGCTGGCTTTTGTCCAAGTATTTTGTACAGGTGCCTGTCAAAAATTAATGATTCTCTGAGACAAATATGAACTGTCTTATTATATTCATTGTGTGACTTGTATTATTTGAAAAGTAAAAAAAAAACGCCAATGTGTTAGCTCTAGCATTTGAAGAACCTGAGTTTGACTCACAAGAAGGGTAGGTATTGGTTTTATTTGAAAAGTCAAATTAATGCCGAAAAATGTCCATGTGCAAAATTAAAATGGTTTCAGTGTTTTATGCATTGCATCATGGGATTATGACGACATAAAATACATTTGCATTGAACGAAACCCAATTCTGGAATACAATAAGCTGTGTGTTTGCAAGGATAGGACTGGATTCGTTTTTAGCTCCGCTGTCGACTTTGTCGAGCAGAGCTTATCATATGAGTGATTGTCCGTCGTCCGTGTCAATGTTTTACTTTTTCGACTTCTTCTTGAAAACTTCAAGCCTGAATGCTTTGATACCTAGTGTATATGTACCTTGAGTAGACCTCTCTTAGATTTGTTCATTTCATGATATCTTCAATTCTCTAATTTTGGTGAATATTTTTGTCATTTTTGGTAAAAAGTGATATTTACGACTTGTTGAAAACCGCAAGTCCAATTGCTTTGATATTACATATATAGGTACTACATGTGGACCTTCTCTCAGATTTGTTCATTTCATGATATCTAATATTTTTGTAATTTTTGGTAAAAAGTGATATTTTCCACTTCTTGTTGAAAACCGCAAGTCTGATTGTTTTGATACTATACATATTGTTCATTTTTTAATGATATCTTCTGTTTTTTAATTGAAATGTGCATTGCTAACAGCGGAGCTATCTCAGCCGAGAGGCTGCTTGTTATGTATTGTTTTTTGATTTGATAACTTTCGACTAAGCCGATATCCTATTAGCTTCAGATCAAAGTTTGGCACCCAAGACATCTGTTCATACTTGGGGAAGACTTTATACTGATGAATAAGGTGACCAAGTTTGATAAAGTTTGGAATAGAATTAGTAGTTATTGTGAACACAAAAATTATTAACGACAATGCCGCCGGACAGAAATTTTCCCTTAATATACCTTTACCTTCCATCTTTGATTTGATGTTGCGGGCAAGGTAAAAATAACATTGAAGATTTTCACATCAATATTCAGGCATTTTTTGTGTGCAAGATATCTAGATAGTTATAAAGATGCAGTATTGATTAGAACTTGTGATTTATTATGAACTGAAAAGGCTGTTTTTGTAGCTTAGTTTGATGTTATTTTGGTACATGTACATAACAATTACTGCATATGCGTATTTGATATTTTTTTTTTACTACTGTTACAATGATCCAGTAAGTTATGTCTTGCTATTTTCTTAAATAATAAAGTGTGAAAATGAAACTCAATGTTGGTGGTTTTATTCTTGTGAAATATGCAGAATGTTAACAGTTATAACTGAAATTAGAGTCTTCTCAGGATATGATCAGTGCTTTGTTTTATCACCACAGTACTACAATTATGCTTGTCATTCCACTGCCATTGCTGACTTCATAATTCAGATAAATTGTAACACTATTGAAGCAATACCAGTTTTGTAAGCCAATAATTTTGTGCATTGAATGATTATGCAAATTAGTATGTAAACTTTACCAACACAGAACAGATCGACTTGTGCACAAATTTGAAGAATAATTGGTAATTCTTATGACCAGATTGTCAAAACCAAATAGATCGGTGAAATTTCCAATCATCCCAACCAAAGAAATGGTTGCAAACCACTCAAGCAGTAAAGTTGTATTGTTGCTAGTAATTTTGTCTTAAAATCAAATCTGAAGAGTTACATTGATGGCTTGTTATGCCGATTTTATCAACTAAGTACACAAGGTCAATAAACTATTATGCAACAAATTTGAGACAAATTCTCCATCTTACACAATTCTGAACAAGGATTGTACTCCTTAGAAGAATTCTGTGAACACTTCATGGGTTGCTTGGGTAAAAACAAACAGAACAAACAATTCAATTTGAAAGTGTGACTTTATTTCCCAATTTCTATATTAAATCTATACCAAATGTATTCCACATTTTTTCAATACATTAACTTGTCTATATTATTAATTCTATAAAAATTTATGATTGCATGCAGTTTGTTTTTCATTCGAAAGGCTCCATGATAATTAAATTTATGATGCATATTCTACAATAATTAGATCTATAATCGTGGTTACTTGACACTGGCTTTGTTGTACTATGTTAAAATGTTTTTGTACGATACAAGATGGCATATAATGGTAAAATTGCATGTCAATTTTTTATATGTTGCTTGGTATGCAAACATGTATACATTTCCTAATATGCAATATTTAATACAAGATGCACAATGTCTAAATAACTTGATGCACGTTCTATACTATCCATAATCAGAGTTACTTGACACATCTGGTTTTGTTGTACTATGATAAAATTGCAGGTAACATTACAATACAAAACATCCAGTTCCATTTTGCTCCATAAAATGAGTTGCTCGTCATGTTGTGCATTTTTAAATGATTATAACTTCATACGGAGTGTGGTGCTTCAACTGATCCTCCATAAAAACCAAATGAAGGTTTTCAAGAAACAATTATCCAATATATTCAAGCTTCTTCACACAAAATATATCACTTGTTTCTCTGATGCAGTTTAGATTTCAGCCAAGAATTACATAAAAATTCAAATCATTTTTTTCATTGCAAGCATTTTCGCAGATAATGATTAAATAAAGCATCTTTCATAGAGGATGTGAAAGTATGCTTTTCAAGCAGTCTTTCCAACCTTTAATGGTCATTGACAAATGAAAATGGATAGTAATGTACCTACAAGCCATGTGGTATTTATGTTGTATTTGTATTCTTTATATTTTTATTTAATACCCAAGAAGATAAAACAAACGAGTGAAAACAAGAATGGGCGGCAATTATACGTTGAATTACACTAAATCATTATGATTTAGCCTAAATAAAAAGTCGTAATCATACCATGGTGATTTAAGAAAATGTAATTGACTACATAGCTGTATGACTTGTAAAAAAAATATTAAAAAAATTCTATCCTGCGTAAGTACAACGAAAACTGCTCCCAATGAACACTTATACAACGTAGGTGAAAGGTCAATGAGCATATCCTTTGATTACTCTTTTGCACATCTGAGGTCAAATGGAATTCACTTTTACTACACGAGAAAGTGCACATCTCTTAGTTGCTATTCACCTCAAATCCAATCATGAATGAATGGGAAGTAGGTCAAAAACTTGATGTTCTGAGGTCAAATGGAATGAACATTTAGAGTAGGTGAAAGGTCGGAGCATATTTCTCGGTTGCTCTTCACCTAGCATCCAATGAAGCATGAAAAGGAAGTGGGTCAAAAATTGACAGAGGTCAAATGGAATGAACCTGTATAGCAGGTGAAAGGTCGAAGACCAACTCCATTACATGAAAGTATACATGTCAACATCAAATGATAATTGAGAGCAGAGATGGTGTCAAAATCAACAATTTAAATGTTTATGCCTTTGCAGAAACATAAGCCCCCCCTCAAATTCTTGATAAATATATTTATCTATTTCAAGGCAAATAGGTTTTATATTATTATTATAATATAGCAGGTAAAAATGTTTATAGTAAATATTGATGAGATTTGTTCACAGATGCATATCAAAATATCTCAAATCAAACTAATTCTAAGTGTATTTTGACAGAAATGAATATGCAGATTCATTTATTGCTTGTATTAAAAGTTAGCAAAATCATACGATAATTATATTCACTCCTATCATATTCACAAAATTTGGTTTAGTTTTTTTGTCCAGTCTTCTAAAATAAATGTTTGAAACATAATCTCTCATCATCTGATTGGACAACAAATGATCACATGACTTATTTTATTGGATGTCCCTTCAATTGCAATATTTCAGAAGTAGTCGGGCAGTAATAACTACAAAGCTTTTCCTCCACCAATTCAATTCTAGAATTCTAATCTACGCTATTTTTTCAAACAAGATTTTAAAAAAGTCCTGCTTTTTTCTTCATATCATTTTTCTTCCAGTTTGGCTTGCCGTTGTAGGTGGAAAAATCACAACCAAATAGTCTCTTGAAATCTTCTTCTGATAAATAATACTGTAAACAAACATTGCAGAAGAATAATCGTTATACAAAGTGTTGACACATTGCATGCCGAGTAGCCATATAAATTTTGTCGGCCGGTCAAGTAACAATTACTGTTAAAATGCGGTAGTAGTCATGCAGCGCATGTTCGAATTTCATGTTAATAAACAATGTATTTTACACACGTTGTATACGTCGCTATGAGTCCTATATCGAACAGAACACGGCATGACGACTGCTGCCCTTTAAACAAGAAAATTTGTCTTTGCAGAAATACGAGATAACATTTTTAAATACCATAACAGTATTAGTACCCAGTAATCATATTTACAGCAACGCTAGCAGTATTATCAAATAAATATGCACATATTTCAGTCAAAAACTGTCAGATTTTAATTATATTTCTAGGTGAATACAAACTAATATGCACAGACTTGAACATAAAGCCCTTACTTCTTTCTTGGTTGCATCAACACCTAGTGGTAATTCCTCTTGTTGAAGCTCTTCTAATGAATATTTTTTATAGTTAGCGGGATCTCCAGCACCAGCACCGCCACCTGATGGACCAGTCTTCATATCCTGTAATGACAAACAAGTCAAATATATATGTGGTATTTATGAATATAGGATGAGTAGCTGCGTCTGAAAACAGTTTTGTTATTTTAATCTCTGTATTGTATATAGAGGAACCAGACAACCAGATATCAGTTCTATAAAAATAAAGACTTATTTCCTATATTTCTATGGCTAAGTAAATATGAATTTGTACATACAGAAATACCCACATTATAAGTGTAATTTCACTTGTTATAAAGTGAAATTATTGTTTTATTGGCCTGTTAGGGCACTATTACAGTGAGTACAAGGTTCTTTCAGTCTACACGCTGCTACGGCACCACGAACATCAAATTTTTGGCTGTCTCTACGTAAAACTGTTTTTGATACGAGGCAACCATAGCTCAACCGAATGAACATCAAAAGCAGATTCAACTACCAGATGTTATGCAGCAGCCTTCACAGTCTAGAATGGAATAAAGGTAGCAGTGTCCCACACACAGTAATTTTGTGTTATGTCATGTTTGTTAAGGAAGCCAAAGGGGAAATAAAACTATAAATTATCTATCACTCACCGAAGTAATGACAGTAACACCAGCATTTTGTTCACCAAGTTCTGCTTTGATTTCTTCGTAAGTTTTTCCTCCCTGTTTTGAAAAACAAATTACATGTTAGATACATTCCTCACATATACCTCACATTAACACAATGGTCAATGAAATACAGCCTAGTATTCGACTTGATAACCACAGATCTTTGTTGCAATCAGGCAATTTCAACTCAAGGCACAAAGAAAACAGAAAGCTGTTGGCCTAGTGAGTCTGCATAATAAAAATCAAAATATATGCATGAGCAAATACTGCAGAAACAAGGTACTAACCACTTTAACAGATATATTATGTTAAAATAAATGTACTTAACATAGTTGAACTCTGGTGACCTTGCCCTTTGTTATATAATATAATTCCCTTTATCATAGTTTGTTTCAATATAAATATGCATTGTCATAATTTTGAATACAAACAAGTTTTGGGGTTGAAACAGTGGAAAAGCAGTTTATCGAATGTCCTTGATGGATGTAAATATCTAACAAAAACATTGGTGCTTAATTTGTCGCAGAAAAAAAGTGCTGCATTAAGACGTGAATAGATTCATAAAATATGCAAGATAACAGAAAATCTTAGCTGGCTTTTGTACAGGTATCTGTCAAAAATTAATGATTCACCGAGACAAATATGAACTGCCTCATTGTGTGACAACTGTATTATATGAAAAGTACAAAAAACACCCTCTATGAATAGCTATCATGTTGCAAGCTCTGCTTTGTGAGCAAATCAACTTAAATAGTTAGTTGGTGTCCAGTGGAGAGACAAGTCAACAGTACTGTTGCCTCCTGAAAATCTACATCTTCAAACACTACAATCTTTGTTTTTGAAGTGCATTTTTAAACTAGTATTATAACAAGTCTATCATTCTGTTCTAATAGCTGAAACAAATTCCTGTGAATTTTCATTTGTCGAATGAACTGTTTGTCAAATACAGAATACATATATTTTAGTACAATTTTCTTTTCAAAATGTGGATGCAACATTTTACTTTTTATGTATATTTTATGCATTGTTTTTGATTTGATAACTTGGAACTAAACAGATTTTCTATTAGCTTCAGATCCTGATCAAAGTTTGGCACCCAGTTCATAGGAGTGCTTATATTGATTTTCTGACATTTCTGTAAAAATTGTATTGGTAAATTTGCAAATGTGTATCAGACTGTGCAAAAAATCTCTCCACGAGTTGGTTTTGAAACCCAGTATAGTATTCCCATGGGATTTGGGAGATACATTACCAAGGATATTATTACAAGATAAATGATTTGCTTCATTGAACACATACAACAATGTATATTTCCACTGAGATCAGTGACCTTTGATGTGTATCACCAATGATCAGTCAAATAGAAACAGTACAAATATTTTATCAGATTTTCTCAATTTTTGCATGATATTTTCATACAGGACATCTGTTGTTCATACTCAGGGAAGACTTTATACTGATGAATAACGTGACCAAGTTTGATAAAGTTTGGAATGGAATTAGTAAAGTTATTATGACGACGACAACAACGATGACAGCGACAACACCGGATACAAATTTTTCCCTTAATATACATTTCCCTTCCATCTTTGATGGTACGGGCAAGGTAATTAACACATAATACTCACAGACCACTTATCATTATCCCATGCCATGAACCAACCAGTAAATGTTGGTGGTTCAAAGCCTTGCTTCACACAAATGAGGGGTGTGTCACTATCACGTCCGCTGGGATCAGTTGAAATGTATTCCTACAATCAAAGAAAAACAGTAACATTACCTGTAAGAATTAATGAATTTTAAATTATTCCATTTCCTACAAAGAAAAACAGTAACATTACTTGTAAGAATTAATGAATTTTAAATTATTCCATAAGAAAATGTCACTACAATGAATGATAATAAAATATAATAAATAAAATATGAATATTAATACTTACTCTTGCTGTGTTGACAGATTCTTTTTTCTCTGTATCATTGGCACCTTTTCCAACCCAGATGAATATCTATTTGGAAAAAAAAAAGATTGATAAACAATAATGTTGTTGACATTTTGAAAGCCGGGCTTGATGCCAAGACAAAAACGCTTGTATAGCCTCATCATCATACTCATTCATATACATTTAAAGATAATGTCTTACTTCATCCCAGGTATCCAAAAGCATGACATCATCTTCAATCAGATCTTCTTGGGTAAAATCAAAAACCTCTTCAACACGGAAGCCACCAGATGCGTTGGAACATTGGAATAGACGAGGTGGGCGATCAGTATCAGACTCCTAAAATTTAGAGAAAAAAAAAATTAATAAATTGATGGTTATAATCATTATTCTTAAAATGTAGGTTACAAAGAAATGGGCTCTTACACTGGCAGTCAGTCTAGATCAGAAATAATATTTTTTTCATCAACACAGAACATCCCTCCATCCCTTAGAAATGATGAAAATGGTTGCAATATAAAAACTAAGCTCAGAAGAAGACAAACAAAATAAATAAATAAAATGACTGTGTGTGTAGCTGTTATATTGCTAGCTCGATATAAACTGGTTATTGCTTCCTATAATATATTCAAATTTATTCTGAATTGATCAATTATTTTTTTCCAGAATTATTTCTTTAATTTTGTTTGACAAAATTTACAAATCATTCCATTACAAATCATTGCTCTGTATGTGATTCCCCCTTTTTTAGACTGTTGACATTAAGTATATATTTACTCTTTTGTCCAGGGCTCTTTCATGTTTGGAAATCAATACATGACAACGATATAATATTTTGAACTACTAAAAGCCAGTTGATTCATGTGGTTGTACACACAGTTATTAGGTACAGAACATGTTGCTTCCAGTTGCTGTGAACATTTTTTCCTTAATATGACCATAATCTCTAACACTGCAAAAGTTTAAGCCCCTCTCTGGGATAATATCTCATGTCAGACGGCAAATTTGTGTCATTGTCCTTATCATATACAATTACTGACAATATCACATACAAAGGAATTAGAAGAATATTGTCAATGATTTGTAGCGCTTTTAAAATTTCCATATTTTTATTCATCAGAAGAAAATGTATATGTGAACACACCATAATACCCAGCTACTATAATTACTACAAATAACTATTTCTGAAATCCAACAAGTGTTTAATACCAGCACAAATGCGTTGCAAAGTAAACGTAATAATTCTTGTATAACACACATAACAAAAGTTTCAAAATGCTTTACATACCTGCATTCTTGCAGTAGAAGCATAGGGGGCTTTTCCTCCTAGTGCAGTCCAGAATTCAGTTGGCTCTTGTCCTTCTGGTACAGTAGTGTGCTCACTGAATACAAAATAAAACCATAGATTAATTCATAATACCGGTCATTGTTAATGACATAGTCCCAGTTGGAATTATTGATGTAAATGGATGGAAACCAAATTATAAGTCCGCTTTCGAAATTTGTTACAACAGGGACTACTGTGGAATACTTTATTTTCGCTGGAATTAATTTTCGCTGAAAAGGCTTTTTGGGCGTTCTTTGTGGAATTTATTTTCACTGATTTTTGGATGAGTTGAATGTGAAATATAGGAAAAAAAGTATATTCGCTGGATTTTATTTTCACGGAATCATCCCTCCAGCGAAAATAGCGAAAATAAATTCCAAGCGAAAATAAAGTATTCTACACTAATACAGTTTATTCATGGTCTATGGTTTTTCCTACTTGTTGCAACCTGATATGTACTAACATATTACATCTGATTGAGATAAACTATTAATGTTAATTCCAAGAAATTTAGAGATTTAGGCAAATTTGACATAAAAACTGGCAACATAAAAATAAATTCATAAATGTATGACGTGTCTTCATACTAAATTTGACAACAGATCTTAACAAAGTAGTACAAAGAATTATGATACCATACCGAGATGAAACAGCTTTAGTGATCTGTTTAGCAAGTTCTCTTTCGTCACCACTGCATCCCTGCAAAACACATACAATGAAATCGAACATAAAAACAGGACAAACAAAGGTCATAGCGTCGTAGTGGTGTCAAACATCGCGTGGGATTCGACAAACGCGAAAGTATTTTGGGGACATTTCCATGCTTAATAATGTGCTGTCCACATTTGATGATAGGCAATTTCGATTAAGTAAGGGTATTCGGAAGCAATATACTTCTGTCGAAGATCGGCCGGTCGGTGTGAGCTACGAAATAAGGAAATTCAAGTTCAAAATCAAATCGTTCGTCTTTCATGCATCTCGCGAGATCTCGCAATTGTACGGAAAATCAACCTATTATAGAAGCATCTGGCTCTGTATGAGACACCAATTTTTGACACCATTGACATTATGAGACTATATTTTTGCTGAGGCAGAATTATCAGTTTCTCACTGGGAGACAACTCTTTGTCCAGGACTCTCCATTTTTGCCAATCAAGGGGTCTCTGACCTGACAATTCTATAAAATTAATATGGATGGCATACTGTTACTAACCAATAAACCATCACATGGCCTGGGTATATCAGATGGTATGCCAAAGACGTATGGATGTATTTCTACTGTATAGTTCTGTTCGTTTAAAAATCGAGCAGTAATTGTTTTGTTTTTACGTAATATTATGTGGATAATTATTCTGATAGATAGTTATAGTAAGATAAAGCAAGTTAAATTAATTGCATTGTATAGGCTGCATTGTATATGATATTGGATTAAACAAAGTACATCACAATCAACCATTCAGTGGATTTGCTATGTTTTGTCTTGTTTCTTAACTGTATAATTTTTAAGAATTGCAAATAATGCTACAAGTAGTGCATGTGTTTACACATAAATAACAGGTGAGTCTATGGTCAAAACAAGTCAAATTGTTATGATCTATCATACAATAAGGGCAACTTTTGGTTTAAGTTTGCATTTAGATAGTAGAAATGTGCAACTACTCAATAAAATACGACAACTGTGCTTACCTTTCCACACCACAAATAGATATTTTTTGGTGTCTGAGCTACAAACACATCATTGGAATTCAATGAGGCAGCCACAGGATCCACCTAAATGTATGGTAAAATAATTCAAATACATTAATTGTACAACAGAACATTAAGCAATTTCATAAAGCTATTCAGTAATTTCAAAATTTGGCTCAACATTTTCAATACCCCATCACTGGCATAGTGCATGTAGGATATTGGTTGAAGTGCGCCCTCAAAGATGATATGACACATCAGCAATACAGTTTTTCGTGATACAACTCGTTACACTTATTTCCTGACATGAAAATTATACCCTAATGGAGAAATCTTAAAAAACATCTTACAACAGCAGAATTTGATATTTTCACGTTTTTTAAACAAATAAGTGTGTAATGAAGGAAATCATAGTCCACAAGTTGAGTTTACAAATTCAGAACCTCTTACAGGCACGTACAATCTTTATAACTCTTCCCAGCAGTCAAAGCTAACCCAAGTCGATTTTGGAGATTCCATTTTGATTCAAAATTCCTACAAAGTCTGTTCTGTCAGGGCACACTGGGCCCTGGGTTTGAAATCAATTTTGGATTTTACAATCTAGTGACAGAGAACAGAAATAAGGAAATTACATTGAAATTTAGTGCCAGCTAGTCAAATTCTGAGTCAGATGTATCTAAATCGGGCCAAACTTCAGCATTGTGCATATATTCACATGCGACTACTATTCCAGTCCACAAATAAATGCAGCACATCACAAGAATAACTTTGTTTAACAGATACATAAAAACATAAACTCTTATTGGAAACTAGACTTGGTTCTACTAATTCTGTGACCTTGTGCATGAAGAACACACCAACTACCCATAAATCAACTCCAGAGATTTACTCAGACTGAATCAAAAACTACTAAAGTGAACTCACCTCGTAGGCTTTAGTACACAGTTCACTGGTACCACGTACTTGGAACATTCTGACACCTCCCTGGTATGACTTGTCTTTCTGACTAGTATTAGTGAATGAACTTGCCTTGCCTCCCTAAAATGTCAAACAAGCATGGCAAAAAAAGTGATTTTAATTATAACTCATTTCACAATATGCGAAATTTTCTACAATGGCTGGACAAGATTTCAACTATATTATTTTTGTGATTTTTCTTCCTGAATATTTTCTACTCCTACCATAAATTGCATCTGTATGTTGTACTCCCTACATTTTTTGTATAAACCACATTCATAACAGTTTAATTCCAAAGTAATAATTAGTTTTGATGTCATAATTGATGATACAAACTACAAATTTCGTACATCAGAAATTTGCATTGTCGTATATAGTTCATAACTGTATAAATCATAATAATAAGTTAGGCAAGAGGAATTATTTACCGATATTAGCATTGTAAAGCAACTTGGCATAGATAGAGCCAATCTCACCAGTAAAGTTATTAAATACACATAGTGCAAGCAATGATTTTGGAAACATTCTTTAAAAAGTCAATCTGCTAATTTGCTAAGAGTTTTTAAATGATGCAACTTGGAAATATATACTACAAATTATGGCATGGTTATTAAATATAGAACAATCGAAATAAATGTTTTTAAAATGCACATTGAAGGGACAGTATCATCAAAACTACACATGGACATATTTGTTACGCTATTATTGTCACCACACAATTTATTCAAAAGAAATACTAGTACCCTGGTAAATTTTTTACTACTACTATAACAATCTTCCTATGATATACTCTAATTGCTCTAATAGTAGCACATGCATATGTATAAATAACAGACGCATCATTTTAATGATAAATGTTTGAATTTTGTTAATTTTCATACTTAGTTTGCTAGTTGATAAGCAAATACAGATACCTAGTATTGGTTGTAATTCTTGTTGTATGGGACTCGCACCACATGCAGATGCAGATAAGATGATACTGACCCATTCACATTTTTTTTATGAATTTCAAAACAATCTGGTAAACCAAAACGAGGAAAGAACAACTACATCCACAAATATGATACTTTTATCAATAGAAAGACTGGGTTATTCTGAAGAAATCATTGAAAAATCATATCAATCACAAAACCGTAAATTAAACGAAAATGAATTTTTAATATAAAGTGTAGCCTTGCAGTCATATATTTCTATTTCGTGGATTAATTCGAAACATTGTAATTATGCTATCTATATTCATTTGCCAAGTGTCAGTAATTAGCCATGAAATCATTCTAACATTAGCTAACACAGCGAAAGCTGTCAAAGTCCAATAAGATGAACTTGAACTTTGTGGTAATATAAAACAAGAAATCCTGTATTTAGGCAGTGATACTAGTATATGAAAAACTACATAATAAAAAACATGGTATACCACTTCTAAGGATCTAGTAAAAGCCCTTTTTAACTTTTCATCCATTTTATTACAGTAAAAATGGTGAACTTTTGATTCTCAGTTCCAAAAAAATGTATATGGCTTCTAGGTACATGTATACAGCTTTGTACTGTAAATGCTAAATCAAGATTGGCATGTAAATGATTCAATCTAAAACACCTTGAAATGATCTGATTTGCATATCAGAATTTTCATAATATATGATGAAATTAAGTGGATCCTAGAAACCCGAATTGAGAACATAGATAAAAACATAAATATGTATAAGATAAAAAGGGCTTATACCAACAGAAGAACAGTCTACCATTCATGATGTAAATAATTCTTAACTGTATATCATAAGTGTACATGTACGATGCAATACTAATCTATTAATACATTCACTCATGCATCCCACGACATTCAGCTAACTACATCTAATTTGAGTAAATACTAGTACACTAAATACCTACCCTCCTCTCCTCACAACGACAAACCGACTAACAAACAAACTAAGAAACTTGAACATCAACAATGGGGAATAGAAACAAAAACAAACTGAGCCAAGTAACAGAACTGATATTTACAGGAAAATATAGAGCTAAATAGTGACCTAACACAAACAAAATTAAGTGTAAATTAAATTATACCAATTGAATGAATTTATGGTGCCGCAAATCAAATGGATTCAAACATGATGCTACAATATAGTGGGTGCTACCCAGAATGCATTGTGGCAAACTTTCTATATAACCAGTGCCATTTTAAGATTCTACCAATTATTCCCAGAGATAACATGCATGGACACAGGGGTTTGATTCATGAACCAACACCATCAAGGAAACAGAGTTTGAAGTTTTGAAGTTTAGACAGTTTTGCCCTTGCATATACACCTAAAAGGTGATCGAGATTTCATCCAGTTGCAGCCAGCAATATTGCACAGATACTATTTTTCTGGGAAAAAATGAATTTGAAAAGTAGAGTTCTTTAATTGCAGATTCATGGGATGAATTTTAATGGCAAAGTTAGATTGCTGGTAGTTAGACTGCTTGGTATATTTGAGTAGGTTGTCATGCATGTTAAACCAGGGGGAAATAAACCATTGAAGTGATGTCTACGTTGCTAGTAACTATGGCAACAGCAGGCGAGTAATGCATGACAGGCTATTGACTGGTTGCATGCACCACACTATGACAAATTACCTTATGAATGATCAGTGTACCCCCAAAGATCGCCAACAAGTGGGGAGGCTCTTTACCCATCGCAACACGAACCTAAAGTACATAAATTAACATACAAAGATAAAAAACAAGTAGTTGTAAACACAAATTAACAATTCTCAACACCTTACCTTATGTATTATTAATTTGCCCTGAAACATTGCTAGAAAATGACTACATTCCTTGCCCATCACTTGACGAATCTATAAATACAAAGCTTGTGATTTAGTATACACAGTTGCCTGGTTACAATTATGGTAGTCATGACAACAACAGATGATGCAAGCAATCATGAAAATGATGAAGATGTACATGAATGTTTTTCAGTTGTATACACACACAAGAGTAACATACATGGTTACAAGTTATTCTAAATGTAATGCATTATGTAATACAATGTAACAGTAGTGTTACAATACAGCACAATATAGTGCATTATACATGCAGTTAATTGGAAAACAATTGTTAGTGTAATGTAACAGTATAACAGTGTCATGTATTACATTGTTATGCAACATAGTACAACAGTGTAGTGTATCACATTGTGATGTAGTGTAACATAGTATCACAATGTGGTGTATCACATTGTGATGTAGTGTAACATAGTATCACAATGTGGTGTATCACGTTATGTAGTGTGACATAGTATACATTGTAGTGTATCACATTGTGATGTAGTGTAACATAGTATCACAATGTGGTGTATCACGTT